TTGTATAGGGCATTACAGAAACAGAAAAGAGTCCAGAAAAGGACAAAGTGCAAAACTGCAAATCTAAGGGGAGAATTGGGAGTTTCTGATCTTTTACCATAAGGAAAGATACGTCTCAAAATTTTCAGATCATAAATGTGACAGACAGGAAAAAACTGACAAACCACTAACTACTATGGCTAACATTTAAAGGTAGATCCAAGGAATTTATTTTTATTTTTAATTTTAATTTTTAATCTTTTAAATTTTAACTCCATGAATTCTTCTATCTTTGGTTCATCTCATCCCATTCACAAGTTGCCTTGGGTAGCTTTCTATCTTTCATTAATTTATCAGTTTTTTTTAAATAAACCTTATCAGGTACTTAGAAAATTTTAATAGATTAGTATTTGTTTATGTGGTACCAAGGAATGGAACCCAGGGCCTCATGCATGCCAGGCAAGCACTCTACCACTAAGTCACATTCCCAGCCCTCAACAGTGTTTTTAAAGCATTTTGTGAACTGTTTTCTAAGTCCTTGATTGTCTGCTCTACTGCCTGGTTATTTTCTGTGAGAATTAAAATTCCTTCACTTGTCATTTTTCTTGTATTTCTGTGGTTTGGTCTGCCCATTTGGAAACTCTTGGTTTTAGTTTTTTGGGGTCTATGGTTCCTAATAGGTTGTTCTCTGCATTCTTGGTTTGATAGTGTATTGTGATTTGCTTATGTGGGGTCATGAAGTAAGCCAGACCCAAAGAAACAGGTTGCATGGTTTCCTTCATTTGTAGTAACTAGAATGTGCCTATAAATTACAAGCAAGCACACCAATGGTAAAAGGAGAGAAAAAATACTGGGACATGATAAATTGCACAGGTCTCTAGGCCTCCACCACAGTGAGACCAAAGGAGGATATTCTGAGGAGAGGATCAACAGCTATGTGCATATGAGCATATAATATTTGTCAAAGTGAACCCCAAGAAATGGAAACGTGGTTTTTTTCTCTTTGTAGCTGTTTTTGTTTTCTATTCCTTTTGTCTTATTTGTTTATCTGTCTTTAGAAGGGTAAGGGGGCATAGAAATGCTAGGACAAAGGCTGAACAAATGCAGCGGTGGTACTTACTAGACACTGTTAAAAATGAACTATACAACTTGTGGGTAGGGATGAGAAAAATTGAGAGAAGGGTAACATTGTTCAAAAAGAACTATGTAACCATAAGCCCCTGTACATCATCTTTATAACAACAATAAATAACGTTTTAAAATGAAAGGTTAATGTAATGCCTAGAATGTATGAGACACAGGCCGCCAGGGCACTTAGGGAAAAATCCAAAACCCTGTCCAAGTGCCATGACCTTCAGTGTTCTTGGCTCCTGTCCACCTCTTAGATCTCTTTCCAAACCTCCTCTCCTTCTTGGTCCTCCAATGCACCTCAGAACTATCTGTTGTCTCTGCCCAGGATGGAATGTTCTAGAACTTTACCTGACCAGCTCCTTTCCAAATTAAGATCTCAACCTTGTGGAGGATACCCACAGCTACTTGCTCATGGAATTAGCCAATATGGCGTTCTCATGTTCCTCATTCTGTTAAACACCACAGAAAGCCCTGATATTCACTTCTGCATTCACATACACTGTTTTCTTCCTAATGAAAGGGGGAATTAAAAAGTTACATGATCACAGAGACTTTCATTCCAGGCTATTCAAGTCACTCTCTTACTATTAAGTTCCACTTCCCCTTGCAATTTTTCTTTAGTAACTCAGCTTATACCTGAACCACATTTCCAGGGTTTTTCTCAATGAATTCCATTAAATAATGGTTACTGTGTGCAATCTTATGAATGAGTGCATTGCCATCCATACTTAACACATAAAAATACTGAGTACTTTTTTGAATTGATGAATACTTGCAAATAGTAAAGGAAAATGGTAGACAAAAATGTCAGAAAAACTAAAGAATAGAGTTGAATGAGACAAAATTAAGGCATTATATTAGCCAGCTGCTAGTCAGTTTTATAAATACTATTGGTTTCTGTGAAAGGATATAACAACCAACATGGTCTATGTATGTAATATTATAGGAAAATTTATTTCTTCTAAGTTTCAGACTTCTAATTTAAGCACTATACTTTGATTCGTTTCCATTAATGTGAAATAAATTCTTCTAAAGTAAAATTTCAAGTATCAAAAAGAATTCTATATGTACAAGAAATAGATATCACAGAGAAAAGAAGTAAAAAGCTATTTAAAAGGAATTTTATAAGTAATCTTAGAAACTGAAAAACACTCATGGAATAAAATTTGGTACTTAAGATTTGTGGGTGGTTCGTTTTGTTTCCCCCAGTACCAGGTTTTGAACTCGGGACCTCATGATGACTTGGCTTGCCTGCTGGACTGGTGCTATAACCACTGGACGTACACCACTGGCCCAAATCCTATCCTTCACTTAATAATCACTGTCTTTGTTGGCTTTTTTTAAAAATAATAACTTTGAGACACTTGTGCTTCAAAGATTTAGACTAATTCTTATGGAATATGGCTGATAGTCCTTAAAATCCTTTATTCTAACAATCTGGTGTAACAGTATTCAAGGAAATGCTATATTTTAGAAGATGATATAACATTCATTTTTCTTTGTTAGTCAAATCTGACTTCTCTATTTTCCCTCTCTCTATATAAATATGTAATTAATGGCTCTAATACTAAATGTTGTACAAAATATTTTCAGTCTTAAGCTTGTATGAAAGACATCCTTAACTAAAATTTCCTCTCTGCTTTCTAAAACAAAGGTGGTTCTAGAATTTGTGATCAGAATCAAAATCTGGCGATGGAACACACAACTGTAAACAACCCAGATGCAAACAGAAGCTGATCATATAATTACAGTGGTCAGTAAACTACATCCTCTCTCCTCAGCTGCCAACAAAACCATATGATTCATATGCCTATTCCTAGACAGCACACAGAGAAAGGGCATCGATGTCTCTCTTTTTCAATATACCCACTCCATCTCAAAGGGTTGATAGCAAATGATGTAACAGAGAACTAGATGCAGAGTGAAATTTGTCATTTTAACTATAGTTCATTTTAGGCTTTGTTAATTTCTACACTAGAATAACACCATCAGAGGAAGAAGATAAATCTATACATCTTGAGATTTCAACTATGTTGCCTTTAAAATGCATGTTGTTCAAAGTACATTACAGCTTGAATTTCATGGATTACAATTCACAGTAAGAAATATATTTTACATCTTAATTAAGTACACACACCACATATGTTCAATTTAAAACAAAGGTTCGTGAAAGTTATCCTTTTACTACATGTAACAAATATGGTCAGTTAGGTGCCAGGGGTTCACCTCTGTAATTCTACCTACACAGGAAGCTGACAAAGCCAAGAGACAAGATCTTATCTCCAAATAACAGGCAAAAACCTAGAAGGCCTTACATTCAAGTACCTGAACAATAAACAGTACCTGAACAATAAACAGTATTTTTATTATTCTTCTTTTTAAATCATGACTACCTACCGCAAACGGTTGCATGACAGAGTAGCAAGACACAATCTATCTTGAGAAACACTGTATCTATGAGACAGGGCCTCTGCTCCTTCTTCAAAGTACATCTCATACTATTCTCCACAATATTCCTCCTACCACTCAGTATCTATTCCTTTCTTTCACGGTACTCTAAGTGTAACAATCTTTTTCCTGCGGGCTGTCTTCTCCAGGAGTGGCCAATTACAAATACCATTGGCAGCCCTAGTCCCCTTGGTTCCATTTCTACTGGCCTTGCACAGGCAAAGGAGCTCCAGAAGCTTCCGAGAGGCATTCTTGTTAAAAAACAAAGACAAAAACTGAGCCAACACACATGTTCGTTAAGTGGCCCTTATAGACGTCAGCTCTACCAGAGTCAGCTCTACCAGCCAAAGAGCAAAAACCAACAGCGGGGGTCAGCCCTACCAGACAAAGAGCAGAAACCAACAGCGGGGGTCAGCTCTACCAGACAAAGAGCAGAAACCAACAGCGGGGGTCAGCCCTACCAGACAAAGAGCAGAAACCAACAGCGGGGGTCAGCCCTACCAGACAAAGAGCAGAAACCAACAGCGGGGGGTCAACCCTACCAGACAAAGAGCAGAAACCAACAGCGGGGGTCAGCCCTACCAGACAAAGAACAGAAACCAACAGCGGGGGTCAGCCCTACCAGACAAAGAACAGAAACCAACAGCGGGGGTCAGCTCTACCAGACAAAGAGCAGAAACCAACAGCGGGGGTCAGCCCTACCAGACAAAGAACAGAAACCAACAGCGGGGGTCAGCTCTACCAGACAAAGAACAGAAACCAACAGCGGGGGTCAGCTCTACCAGACAAAGAGCAGAAACCAACAGCGGGGGTCAGCCCTACCAGACAAAGAGCAGAAACCAACAGCGGGGGTCAGCCCTACCAGACAAGGAACGCCCCGCTCCCCCGCCCCGCCCTCCCCGCCGTAGGCCCGCCCCGCCCGTCCCGCTCGCCCGCCCCGCCGTAGGCCCGGCCCGCCCCGCCGTAGGCCCGGCTCGCCCCGCCCGCCCGCCGTCGCGGCCCGCCCCGCCCGCTCGCCCGCCGTCGCGGCCCGCCCCGCTCGCCCGCCCGCCCCGCCCGCCCGCCGTCGCGGCCCACCCCGCCCGCCCCGCCGTAGGCCCGGCCCCGCTCGCCCGCCCGCCCCGCTCGCCCGCCCGCCCGCCCGCCGTCGCGGCCCGCCCCACCCGCCCGCCCCGCCGTAGGCCCGGCCCCGCTCGCCCGCCCGCCCGCCCCGCTCGCCCGCCCGTCCCGCCCGCCGTCGCGGGCCGCGCGCGGGGCCCCGTCAGCTCAGCCCCCGCCGCTGTTTCCCTCACGCACTCTGGAGGAACGCCGGGCGTCGCGAGCCCGGGCAGGGCGGCAACGTTAAAGGCAGAGGGACGGGCGCCTCCAAACGCCCTGCGCCCCCCGCCTGGCACCCCGCGCAGCCGGGACGCGGGACCGCGCTCCCCCTCCCCCGGACTCACCATAGCCTCAGGAGCTCAGCGCCGAGAAACCGGTAAGTCAGGCGGCCACGGGAAGACGCCACACCAACACCAGCATCCGGTTACTGTGGCAACGGAGCCCCGCCCACTGCCGGAGGCCGGCGAGGCCCCGCCCCTTCCTCTCTCGTGGCTGAGGGAACGGAAGTTCCGCCCCTTGACGACATCGCCCGGGGCAACCAGACGCCGTGTGCTGACAGCTGACCCGGACGTTCAAGGATGATGTGCTTCCGCTCCCTGTAATGCGGCCCGTTTTCCCTAGGCGCCGGTTCCCGGGTCACGCACGGAGGGCTGGGCACACATTCTGTGGGACCGGGTTCTCAACGCCTCGCCGGACGCTGCTCCTCCTCCTTCGGAAGGGAGTTCCGGAAACGAGCCCTGCACTGCCGGAAGTGGTGAGGGTGGGGGCGCGGTGAGTTGTGGGGAGTCGGGGAGGCGGGGCGGGGCCCGGCCGGGCGGTGGACCGCGGCCGGACCGCGGGGAGGGCGAGGCCTCCCGAAGCCGCGCGGAGGAGGGCTGGCGTCATCTCTGGAACGGCTCGGTGAGCGCGCTGGAAGGCTGGCCGACGCCGGGAGGCGGGCGCGGGGCCGCCGGCTCGGGCTTCAGGGGAGGGGGCCGCCGCGGGGAGCGGCCTCCGACCGGAAGGAGGGACGGGCTCGCCCCCACGCCTGCCGCCTTCCACTCCGGCGCCCGCCCGGTCCCCGTCCCTGTCCCCCTTCCCCGTACCCTGTCCCCGTCCCCCTGTCCGCCGCCCCCCGTCCCCCTGTCCCCGCCCCCCGTCCCCCTGTCCCCCGTACCCCTGTCCTCCGTACCCCCGCACCCCGTACCCCTGTCCCCCGTACCCCCGCACCCCACACCCCTGTCCTCCGTACCCCCGCACCCCGCACCCCTGTCCCCCGTACCCCTGTCCTCCGTACCCCCGCACCCCACACCCCTGTCCTCCGTACCCCCGCACCCCGCACCCCTGTCCCCCGTACCCCTGTCCTCCGTACCCCCGCACCCCGTACCCCTGTCCTCCGTACCCCCGCACCCCGTACCCCTGTCCTCCGTACCCCCGCACCCCACACCCCTGTCCCCCGTACCCCTGTCCTCCGTACCCCCGCACCCCGTACCCCTGTCCTCCGTACCCCCGCACCCCACACGCCTGTCCTCCGTACCCCCGCACCCCACACCCCTGTCCCCCGTACCCCTGTCCTCCGTACCCCCGCACCCCGTACCCCTGTCCTCCGTACCCCCGCACCCCACACCCCTGTCCTCCGTACCCCCGCACCCCGCACCCCTGTCCCCCGCCCCCAGTACTCCTGCCCCCGTACCCCCTCCCCCTGTCACCGCCCCCCGTACCCCTGTCCCCGTACCCCTGTCCTCCGTACCCCCGCCCCCCGCACCCCTGTCTCCTGCCCCCCGTCCCCGTACCCCTGTCCCCCGCCCCCAGTACTCCTGCCCCCGTACCCCCTCCCCCTGTCACCGCCCCCCGTACCCCTGTCCCCGCCCCCCCGTACCCCTGTCCTCCGTACCCCCGCCCCCCGCACCCCTGTCTCCTGCCCCCCGTCCCCGTACCCCTGTCCCCCGCCCCCAGTACTCCTGCCCCCGTACCCCCTCCCCCTGTCACCGCCCCCCGTACCCGTCCCCGCCCCCCCGTACCCCTGTCCTCCGTACCCCCGCACCCCGCACCCCTGTCTCCTGCCCCCCGTCCCCGTACCCCTGTTCCCCGCCCCCAGTACCCCTGCCCCCGTACCCCGTCCCCCTGTCCCCCGCACCCCTGTCCTCCGTACCCCCGCCCCCCGCACCCCTGTCCCCCATACCCCTGCCCCCTGTCCCCGTACCCCTGTTCCCCGCCCCCAGTACCCCTGTCCCTGCCCCCCATTCCTTGTCCCCTGTGTCCCACCCCCCCGCCCCCTACCCCTGTCCCCCGTACCCCTATCCCCCGACCCGTATCCCTGTCCTCCGTACCCAGCCCCGCCCCCGTCCCCCTGTCCCTCGTCCCCCTGTCCCCTTCCCCCCACCCCCCTGCCCGCGTCAGGAGACATTCCCTGCCCCTGGCCCTCTTGGCAGGGCATCCACCCAGCATTTTCTGTGCTTAAGAAGTCTTTCATTGTCATTGCCATGGTAGAAAACCCCCTGTGATGCACTCGGTGAAAGTAGTGAGACAGGGCATGTTCAGATAAACCAAACCTAATTTTTGAGACATTCAAAAGACCCCACACCACAGTTATAAGGAGAGAATAGAGAGGAGAAAGCTGCCTCTCTAAATGTGTGGGGACTAAAGACAAACAAGTTAGATAGATAGATGACAGATAGATAGAATTAGTGTATCTTTCAAAGTACAGTCATTCATTAAATGTATTTATATGGTATTGTTTTTCAGGGGGCGTCTTGGAAACAAAAATGGCTACTCTTAAAAGTTTAGAAACCAAAGGTAAGTTTTCTTATTTTGATAATAATTAGATGGGAACACTACAGATGGCAGAGCAACTATAACACAGTCACCCCAAGTGGATAACTTAAACAACATAGTTCTGAAGACTAGATGTCTAGCATCAAAATAAATGCCAGTGGGGCTTTGTTCTCTATGAAGGTATTTAAGAAAAGTTCTGGCCCCTCTCCTAGCTTCTGGTTTTCTGGCACTTGTTGGTGCTTCTTATAGATGCAACACCCTGACCTCAGTCTTTGTGTTATAAGGCATTCTCCTTAGGTGCCAGCCTTCCTCTTTTTTTTTTTTTTTTTTGGTCAATCTGGGGCTTAAACTCTGGGCTTATGCACTGTCCCTCAGCTCTTCAGCTCAAGGCTAGCACTCTACCACTTGAGCCACAGTGCCACTTCCGGTTTTCTGGTGGTTTATTGGAGATAGGAGTCTCATGGTCTTTCCTGCTCGGGCTGGCTTGGAACTGCGATCCTCAGATCTCAGCCTCCTGAGTAGCTAAGATTACAGGTGTGAGCCACCAGCGCCCAGCCCAGCCTTCCTCTTTTTATAAGGAGAGTGGCCATATTGTTCCTCCTCCCCCCAGGCTTTTATGTATGATTTTATCCTTAATTAGTTACATTTACAATGAAACTTTTCAAATAAAGTCACATTCTGAGACTAATTAACCAATAAGTAAAACAATCCAACTCTTAGCCCTAGTTCTGCATAATACAATGTTAACTATCATTCATAAACAAAAGTAAATGCATGGCCTGAGAAAAAGCAGACTTAATACTTGACCTAGTCAGTTGTCAGCCTCAGGAGAGAGCACTATGATTTGGTATGGTGGCAGAACTTCCTCTCAAACATATGTGAAGTTCTTTCATTATGAAGACAGATGTGTGTTTGCTGCTAGGGCTATTCTGAAAGGTATACAGAAGAGATCGTAGAAATTAGAAAATTGAAATTGAACTCTTAGATGCAAGATGAAAAGTTAAGACAATTTAGTAAACGTAGATAAAATTGTAAAAAGAGCTGAGACGTTTAAATATTCATAATTAGATAAACTAATCTATTAGTAGTTCTGAAGGACAGTAAAAAAAATAGATGAAAAAAGATTCTAGGAGCAAATAAAATCTGGATTAAAAGAGTAGTTATACCACAGGAAATCTCAAAGCCTTTAGTATACTAATGTCTATTGAGAGGCTCCAAAGGGATTTAGTATACAGAATTACCAACACTTTTTGACCATGGAACTCTATTTAGAGCCTATGGAAAGAAGAATATTCAATAAATGTTGAACCAACTCCTAAGTTCATTTTCTAATTTAATAATAATTTAGTTTAATAAAGTTTTAGCTTAATAAAAATGTAAGTTTTCTAATTTAATAATAGCTACATTTTATTAGATGATATTAGTTTCATTTAAAAATTACCAAGTAACATCACTAATTATGTTATAGCTGAATTTAATTACATTACAGCTAAATTTGTATGTGTTCTAAAAAGTATGCCAGTATATGACTGAATTAGGAATTGAATTTGTATAAACTAAATATAAAAATAATTTTATTTTTCTCATTATTTAGGTCTACATTACAAAAATCTAAATAATCATTACTATAGTTTGAATTTTACCAATAATATTTTTCTCTTCCATGTAAGTACATTGATAGTATGCTTGATTTTAAATCATGGTCCCCAAAGTACTATTTGTTCTTTATAGAAAATGCTTGCCCACCACTATTCTAGGATGTTAGAATAGTGATCTTGTTATTCCTTATATTTCATCAGTTCTTGAAGAATAAGAATGTGCCACGATTTCTTGACAAATGATCACAGCTGGAAGTAAAGATGAATGAATAATAGGTTATTTTGTTGGTTCCCTCAAAGAATGGAGAAGAATAAGATCAAGGATTAATGTTTTGCTTTACTAAGGCATTGCTCATAGTTACTGACCTGGTACCATTGATTTTTGTCTTCCCACTTGAGAGGAGGTAATTACTCATGAATGTGCCCTGGATTGTGCCCACAACATATGTAATAAAGGTTTCTATGTGTGTCATCGAGCAAAATAGAATTATGAAAGTTATGATACCTGGTGAGAAACTATAGAGCCCTGGCTCATCTGCTTGATATGCGAGTTAGCTAGAATCATAGTTGTGACTGAGAGGGAGCTGTCCTATGATCGACAACATAGGTTTGATATTCAGCACTGCTTTAGTAAGTAGGACACTATAAGTATAGTTAAGAGTAATTGGGATTTAAAGAAGTTGGTTGAACTTCCTGAATTTTACAGTAAATTTTCTTTGTAAGGATAAATTCTGTTTGGAAAGAGATTTCTGTTAAACACTCTTAACTTTTTTTTATTTTAATGATAGATTTAAGGAGCAAAGATTTATTCTTGAATCTCCATTACTTAAAATTCCAACTCAATATTAGGACTTACCTGGAAATCCAGTTTGTTAAACTATGATCGAATTTTCATACTAGCTTCTTATTTGACCAACCTAAGTATACCCAAATGGCATGATTTTTGGTGGTGTATTTATTACTGTTTTTATTAATCTAGAGTTAAAAGTTGTTTTTATCTATAAAATGATGATATTAATCTGTAGGTAAATAATTATAATGACACGTCTTTTTAACAAACTAAAACTTACACTAGATAACATTAAACAAACTTAAAACCAAATTGTAAGCCCATAAGAACAGTTTTAAAATGATGAAGAGAAAACTTGTCTTATGCACTACAGTTGTTTTGAGTGCTGGGATAAAAAGTATTACTACCATGCCAAGCTGCAAGTTTATTTAAGAGAAATAACCGAAAGTTCATAGTAATCTATAATCACCAAAGTGTCACTTAACATTAGTATAGTGGAAAACTATAGAGAGACTAACAACAGAAAAATAATTTAAAATAATGATACATCAACTTGAAGGAATATATATTTATAAAATTAAAATATGAAGCAAAATAAAAATACATTAAGCTTACAAAATTTACTATGATTACAGTATATAAAAACATTGAAAAAATTTGAAGTAATGAGAATATAGGTCAACTTTCATTAGAGCATTGTTATTATAAACTTTTATTTGATGATAAAATTAAAAAATGAAACTATTATTTCTAATTCTAGTTATGTATGAGGCTAAGTTACAAGGATTGAGTTTCAAAGCCAGCCCAGGCAGGAAAGGCCATGTGATTCTTATCTCCAATAAACTAAATGGTAGTAGAAGTAGAGCTGTGGCCCAAGTAGTAAAGCACTAGCCTTGAGCAAAAGAAGCTCAGGAACAGTGTTCAAGCCCTGAGTTCAAGCCCCAAGACTGATACCAAAAAAAAAAAAAAAAACTAATAGAAACTAGAACACATCTGACTATGTGGGAAGATGATCTATTCTCTTCTGTAGTTTTTATATTTGTAGTAAAGAACAATTCTCTAAAAGTAGAAACCTACCAAATCCAATTCAAGAGGTTATTTTGCTAGATAATTCCTTGGCTGTAGAAGACTTGCAAGTAACTTTCATGGTTACTTGCAAACATTGCTGTAAGCAAGCTTTCATTTCTATGGGGATTTTGCTAGGGAATTCCATTTCTAGAGCCACAATATATGACTCCTCTTTTAATATAGCTCTGTATATCAAAAATTCTTAAGAAAGCTTTCTTTTTTGTAGGATCTTATGCTCTTTCCAAACTGAGTTAGCTCTCCTAATTTCATTGTTAAAATGAAACATGATCAATATTTAATTAGATCTAGGATATGGTATTTAGTGATAATTGAAACAAAGGATACTTTGGATTTATTAAGAATTCTAAAAAAATAGACTTTTAAGAGATTACATTACCTTTTACATAATTTAGCTGGATGGATAAACTTACTAAACACTAATCAGTAATTATTGCCTTTAATGTTTCTATAAAAAGAAAATTTCTGTTGAACTATATGCCACTTACTACATCTTAATGTATTGCTATCCTTCAATACATTTTACCTTTTTATTATCTCCTTTCCCCATCCCTTCTCCACTCTTCTCATTCTCCCTGCTTCTGTCTTTCCTCTTCCTCCTCTTCCCCCTCTCTCATGGACGGGTTGAAACCCAGGACCTTACAAATGTGCTCTACACTAAACTATACCTCCAGCCCTATTTTATCTGTTATATGCATATCCTGTCTTCAGAATTATATAGTAAACTTGAATGCAGTAGTCCATACTACCTCATCTAATGCTTGAACTAGATTACATTCGGCAGACACCTAGGACCAGGTATGCTTCCTATAGACCACTCAAAGTTCATCTTTATAGTAATCGTTACTGACTTGTGTGCTAATTCTTAACCCTTCCCCTTATTATCATTAATTTATTGTTCATGAATTTATTGAGTAACTATGAGGCACTTTACTGGCACTAACATAACTAAAATATAGTAAGCCCAAGTAATATATATAGCAAGTAAATAAGATAATAAGTTAAATAAATATGGTGAAAATGAGATCTAAGAAAGTTTAATCTGACAGCATAATGCACTGCCCCTTATGGAAGCAGGATTTAATTCCTTAGGTGTAAGAATAGGATTGAATTTTTGCCTAATAGTTTTTCAGTATAATACACATGTTCTCCTGTACCCCTTGAAAACATTCTTTACTGAGATACAGCAAAAATAGACTAATCTGTCTTGAGGTACATAGATGGTTTCAAATATGTGTATATATAGTTACTTATTTTTGTATCTTGTATTTATTTTTATATTTTGTGTAACTATTATACTATGTGTCAGGCACTTAACTTGTTAAAGCCTTCTTATCGCACAGTCCTGTGGCATGGTTGTTACTATCTGTTTTGTCTTAATAGGATATAGAAATTAATGAAAGACTAAATTATTGACCTATTGTCACATTAAAAAATAAATGTCAAAACCAAATTCCCAGGTTTGACTTTCTATCAAAAGAGAAGACATTTGCTTAAAGAAATTTTATGTCCATGAGACTTTATTCATCTCTTCTTAACATATTTGTTTTAAAAATTACTTTTCACTCTGAGGTTTTTCCATTTTTTTTCTAATTCTGCACACAGGTCAAACTGGTAGTTTTCTTAGCATTTGTTTGGTAAATAGCTCATGTTTGGCTTGCTTTCCCTTTGTTAGTCATCCCTACCTCAACCCCACTCCGAGGAGCAGGAGATGGAATGGAAACCGAAGAGTCACCTAAATCTATCGAAGTCACCTCTGCAGCCCAGTCCATAAAGCATGCAATCCTTCAGAGTCCACGGAAGAAAGCATTTCCCTCAGAGAGCCCAGGAGTTCTTCAGCTAGGGAAGATTCTCACTGAAAAAGCAGTGGAAGTTGAAGCTGTAAGAATATTTGTTCCCAAAGCTGCTATAACTCATGATGTCCCCAACAAAAATGCGAAGGTTAAATCTCTCGGATATCATAAAGGAGAACTCAGTAATCAGCCAGAGGGTCTTACAGATCCCAGGAAAGAACTCTCAGAGGTAAAAAGTGTATTGGAAAAGCTCAGAAACTCTGAAAGGAGGTTGCTACAGGACAAAGAAGGACTTTCCAACCAGCTCCGAGTACAGACAGAGGTAAAAAAAAATCTTAAGTATTTTTTTTTTTTTGGGTCCGGTTGTGGGGCCTGAACTCTGGGCCTGGGCGCTGTCCCTCAGCTCTTCAGCTCAAGGCTAGCGCTCTACCACTTGAGTCACAGCACCACTTCCGGCTTTTTTTTTGCTTATGTGGTGCTGAGGAATCGAACCCAGGGCCTCATGCATTGCAAGGCAAGCACTCTACCACTGAGCCACCTTCCCAGCCCCTCTTAAGTATTTTTAATATATAGTACTCTTTACATCTGGGCCTTCGAATCCACATTTCTTCAGTGGAATGTCCTTTATCATAGATTGTCATTTTTGTAAAATACTTCCCTTAAATTTCTCACTCTTTGTCAGGGCTTGTGTGTGTATAGACTCTGTAGAGTTTGTGCTGAAAACTTACATTTTTATTAAACCTGGTTGAAGATGAAATTATGAAGTACTTTGGACAAGACCACCTTTAAGCTATACAGTGGATTACAGTTATAAACTGCCAAACCAAAGGTTGATTGAGTTAGGCTTTGAAATGGAAAAGTAAGTTAGCTGTCCTTGTAAGGATCTATAACTTCCAGGTACTTTTTCTTATATATGCATGACACTTGGAATAAAGAGAATAGCGGAATAAGAATGTTTTCATCATAAATGAAAATCAACTATGTATGTGGCACAAATCGTGGACTCATACATATTAAGCATGAGACCCTGAGTTCAAACTGACAAAAAGTAAAAAAAGATTGAAAATCTATAATGTTCAGTATATAGATTTAACTCTTTCATGTTAGTAAGATGAACTTATCTCTCCCTTTTTTATCTACTAGATTACACATATTTTTGCAAGATGGTAATCTTTGTAAATGGTAGCATTTTAAGTGACTCGTTCAAATGTTTTATTTGTACATAGTTTACAAATATTTTATTATTTATTGTTTATTATAATATTATCACCTATAATCACACCACCCAGAAAGGACTACATAAGACTCATATTGGAAAAAAAGATTCATAATTGAATTCATTCTGTCTGATAACCCAAATCTTTAAGTTATTAATGTTTTCCCATCTCACAACATTCTTTTACAATTATTACAATTGTGTTCTTCAGTAGCTATACCATACCAGTACTTGCTATTGGATATTGGATAATAGTGTGCTTAAACATACCCTATATTATTTCCTCTTTTTAGATTCTTCAGCATGAAAGAGCTTTAATTTATAAATGTGGATGAAAAACATTCTCTGACTTCCTTTTAGTAAATTTATTGGTTTTTGTTTTCTGATGTTTTTCCTTCATGTGTTGACATAAACCAGGCAATTTTCGTGATAATGATTTGTACTCTTAACGCACTCAGTTTACAGCCACATTGTGTATGAATTGTGTTTGAATATATTATTCACCTTAAAATTTTAATACCAGTTCTTGCATACTTTCATGGAGGTCTAAAATACACAGACACATAGTTTGTCTTTCTTTAACTTTTTGTTTTGCTGGTACTGGAGTTTTACCCAGGGCATTGGGGTTTCTAACTTGCTTACTCAGCAGCTGGTGCTCTGCCATTTAAGCCATGCCTCCAGCCCTCTTTCATTAATTTTGTTACATTAAAATCAGGGCTATTCTTTGGGGCTTATAGTACTATGTTATTTTCTAGGTTAATCGTGAGTTAAAAAAGTTGCTGGTGGCTTCTGTCGGGGATGATCTTCAGTATCACTTTGAACGTCTAGCTCGTGAGAAGAATCAGCTTATTTTAGAAAATGAAGCTCTAGGTCGGAACACAGCTCAGCTTTCTGAACAGTTAGAACGTATGTCAATACAGTGTGATGTATGGCGAAGTAAATTCCTTGCAAGCAGGTATTTTCTCTTGAAAATAATATTTCATTTCTTAGTTTTTGTACTGCCTACTGGGCTTTTGGTCCATAAGACAAAAAACATAGATTGTAGTGTGAAAATTAAGCTATCAGAGTATTTCAAATACTTTTTAATACATAGCTCTCTCCTCTGTTGTCTATTGTCACAGTTTCCCTAAATGAAGAAGTGTTTTAAGGAACCTCCCTCATTCTAGAAATCACTCCCATTACAGTGCTTAAGACTAAAACAAAACTGTGAATTTAGACATCCGGTAAATATTAAAATCACAAAGGGGAAATTAATTCCTTCATCTTCTACCTAGAGGACTCAAAAATCATTTCCACTCCTTAGAACAGTGTTATTTATCCTCTGTGCTCTGTTCTTACAGTCTTTATCCCTCTGTCATTGAATTGCACACTGGGTAATGCTACTCTCTGGCATGGGTAAAAACCACAGGCCTTTGTTGGAACACTGCTAGGTATTATGATTATTTGCTTAAGTACCTTTCAGCATTAAGTTATTGGGAGATTAGTTCTGGATGTTATCCATCTGTGCAGCAAAAGACTTCACAATGCATTTAATAACTCTTGATTTAAATGGAATCACCTAACTTAAGAACCACTAATTGGAATGATCAGATTTTTAGAAGTATATTTCTTTACATATTAATACTTATAGCATTTTCAGTAATTGGTTACTCTCTTAAAGACTACCATGTATCATTAGTTCTGCTAGTATAGTAAACTATTTGAGGAAGTAAACTTTTTAATCTAGAATGAGTTAATTCTTATTGAACAGTTTAGCAAGTATATATGTGTATATGTGTAATGTATATTACATATACATGTAATATTGTATATATAATTCAGATTATTACAATAGGCACCTTAACAGTCCTTATCAACACTGATAGTAACATTCTAAAAAATAAAAATTAAACTCATCCTTATGATATCTTAGTTCAACTTCTAATGTCAAAATTCTTTACATTTTAAGTTAGTAGTAACTCATCTGAGATTTAATTTCAGTTCTAAAGTTTTTACCTCAATAATGTTCTTGACATTTTGGCTTCAGTTCCATCCATAGATAACTGGCCAAATAAAATTTAGTGCATGAAATCAGTAGAAAATATGAAGAGACTTGGTTAAAACAGAGTAAAGTATCTCTGCTTATGCTAATGTGGAAAATTCACTCGTTAAAAAAAGTGTACAAAATTTTGTATTCAATAACCTCTTTCTGTAATAAATCATATGTCTATTTTTAACACATACGTTTATGTTGAAATACACCAAAAAATTGTAAGGAACTTAATATAACACATGAAAGAAGAATGAGCATGCTGGGAGGTTAAAAACATTTTTTTCAAATTAACGTATGTTAATTACACAAAGAGATCTCATGGCAATATTTCTGTATAAATTCACCCCTTAATTACTCTTCTTATCAAGTCTTCCCCAAGTTTTCCTCTTACATAAGCATTTTTATATTTAAAAACAGATAATTATTTCTTTTGAAAAAAAATATTCAGTAATATTGGAGTAAATTGAGAAATCACTATAGAAAAACTAGATTCATGTTTCTCTTATCATCTTATAAATATTTTAGCTGAATCCTTGGAATACACTATACATGCATAAAATGTTTAAATATTTTATAGTGAAATGTAAAACTGCAGAGCAATTTGACTATTAAATCTTTAATTTCTGAAAGTGGCAGTCACCAAGTATACTAACTTCCATATGCTATTCCATATGTTATTGACAGAATTTATATGTAATATTTTAATCTTTATAGGGTAATGGCCGATGAGTTAACCAACTCCAGGGCTGTTTTGCAGCGTCAGAACCGTGATGCACAAAGTGCAATACAAGATCTCCTGAGTGAACGGGAACAGTTTCGTCAGGATATGATGGCTACCCAGAAGTAGGGCACTTTGCTTATATTCTGAACTCTCCCAGTTTCTCCTGCCATTTTTGTTATTGTGATGGGTGTTTTAGTCTACCTACAAATTTGATAATTTAGTGAACATATACTTGAAGTTTCACTTTAAAATAGTTTAAAAGGGAGGAGACCTAAAAAAAGAGAATGCTTCTTAAATTCATAATATGGGTGATATAATTATTTATAACAGAAGACTCTCAGAACTTAAAATCAATTCTTTGTATACTTCTAGTAGTTTTTAGTAGAGGCCAAAGTTTCCTATGGAGGATCTCTTTTTAACCTCTAACTTTCTACAGTGTTACAACTTGTTTTCATTTCTACATATTCCAGAACTGTCTTCTTCTAAAAACAGTCTGTCTTCCAGAAAAGCTCTTTGCACTTTCTTTTTGTTGTTGTTGTTGTTGTTTTTGGGTGGGGTGGGTCGGGTCGCAGGGCCTGAACTCTGGGCCTGGGCGTTGTCCTTGAGCTCTTCAGCTCAAGGCTAGCGCTCTACCACTTGAGCCACAGCACCACTTCCAGCTTTTTTCTTTTTGCTTATGTGGTGCTGAGGAATGGAACCCAGGACCTCATGCATACAAGGCAAGCGCTCTACCACTGAGCCACCTTCCCAGCCCATCTTTGCACTTTCATGTAATTGTGCTACCAGAAGAATTGACGGTCTAAGAGTAAATTGTATCAACTATTATATCGAAATAATGAAATTTTGAAGGTAGCTACAGGGCAATAAGTGCCAAGAATGAAAGGAAGTGTATTCCATGAATTATATAAACATAATAGAAAACATGGAAATGTTAATAATTGTGCTCATACATTCAGTAATTTAGATGAAATGGACAATAACTGGAAAGAAAAATTACCAAAGCTTACTCAAGAACAAATGTATAGCCTAAATGCCCCCAGCCTATTGAAACAATTAATTTATATTTTTAAACCATTTAATGAAGGAGGTTCCAGGTCTAGGCAGATTTTCTAGTGAATACCAGTAAAACTCTAAGGAAGAAATAAAATTTACACAAATTCTTCTAGAGTGTACAGAAGAAAAGAACAATTTCTAACTTACTGTATGAAGCCAGCATGATTTTGATACCAAAACTAGAGACATTATTAGAAAACTACAATGCTACTTTATTTATAAACTATAGTTATAAACATAGGAGCAAAAAATCCTTAAGAAATGGTAAAATCAAATCCTACATTATCGAGCATTATGACCAATCAGGGTTAATTCAGTATTGTAGGGCCATATGTAGAATACTTCCATGAATTGCAGATTGGCTTAGTATTTAAATATCAGTGAGTATAACTCACCAAAAATAAAACCTATAGGTGCACATAAGGTTAACTTTAAAAAATACTGTATGTTGACTGATTTCCAGATAAACAACCTAGTAGTAGGATTAACAGGTGTTCTCTATAGTTTATATGACCAGACATCCTTGTTTATTGAACTGAAGAGAAGATATTAAATGATTTTAGGAACAGGTTGCTCAATATTGTGTTTTTAATATTTTTGTTCTTTTACTAACATTCAGTGTTCACATGTGTTCTCTGCAGATTTTTAGAGGAACTCTTGGTCTCTTTACAATGGGGCAGAGAGCAAACTTACTCCCCTAGCCCACAACCCCACAGCACAGCAGAACTAGCAGTAACAAATCATAAGTTGGCAAAAGCAGTAAATTCTCATCTTTTGGGAAATGTTGGCAATAACAGTCAAAAAAAGATTTTATCAACAGTTGAATTCTGCAGTACTCCAGCTGAGAAAATGGCTGAAAAGGTAAGAGTATTTAATCTTTCATTACATGTTGAAATGATATTTTTCATGTTCTGTAGCATTTTATTCTCCCTTTACTGAAAGATGACATCTAAAAGTTTGACATTGAGGGCTGAGTAATATGTTCTAAACCTGATTACGCTAATTATTTTGGAGAAAATTATTTCCTCCTTTGAGCTCTAATTTTTTTTTTCTAATATTACTACTCTCAGGGGAAAAATAATGTTTTGAAAGAGGTCCTATTATTTTATCTGACTAACCATTGATAATCCTCTTTGTATTTTCATTTTGTTATAAAAACCAGTATAGAATTCTAATGTAGTAGTATTTAGTAAATTAAATAGATTCCTTCCAATCTGAGAAGTTATATAAATTTGAGATCTTTCTATTTTTATGTAACTTTGTTAAGTGCTAAAGTACAAGCAAACTGAGTTACAGAAACAGCAAAGATGAGTGGTTTCTGTTAATTGCTTACAAATTTGGTAGGGAAAATAAAGTTTTTAAAGAAGTAAGGTAACTTACCCTTCTGCTCTTCCATCTCCTTTAATGCTTGTCCATTTTCTCATCTTCCATATTGTATAGACCGCCTGCCTAAAATCTGTCCACATTACCTTCAGGCTAAAGTCAAGAAGCTCATGCTAAGAATTTCCTTAGAATTGGTTTTGGGTTTTTTTTTTTAAAGACCCATAATATAATAACCTGACATAGAATATATGGAGACCTTCCTTTCTTATTTTCCCCACCAAATTTGTAAGCAGTTTAACATAAGCCTTTCATTTTTGCTTCACTGTTACATAAAATAGAAACATAAAAATAGGAGGAGATACATACATACATACATACATACATACATACACATACATATATATACGTATGTATGTGTCTATATGTATTGATTCCTTTGATTCCTTTCACACTTCCTTTCCAGTTGCATTGTCTTTGAAACATAACTTCCTCATGTAATAACTACTAGGGGAATATGAACATGAAAAACAGAGCTGTGAGCCAGACATGTTATCTTTGTCCTTAATTGGAAAGTTGTTTTCATCTCTTGTTCCTGTTTTGTCTCAATTAAGGGGACAGGGAGGGGCTGGGAAGGTGGCTCAGTGGTAGAGCGCTTGCCTTGCATGCATGAGGCCCTGGGTTTGATTCCTCAGCACCACATAAGCAGAAAAATCAGAAGTAGTGCTGTGGCTCAAGTGGTAGAGTGCTAGCCTTGAGCTGAAGAGCTGAGGGACAACGCCCAGGCCCAGAGTTCAGGCCCTATGACCAGCAAAAAAAAAAGGACAGGGAAAGTCAGAAGAGTTGGGAGAGCATAGTGTTGACCCCAAAACCTATACAGTATTCCACGTCAATTAGAATGAGAAAGTCATACTACATACATCTAACATTACCTCTCATTTTCCTTAGGTTCTACATATATTGGACCCAGTTACCTGTGTAGAAAGCTCACCTGATAATCCATTTTCTGACTCTCCAAACACATTGCTTGCTACAAAGAAAAATATTGGACGATTTCATCCCTATACTAGATATGAAAATATAACCTTCAATTGCTGCAATCATTGCCAGGGAGAGCTTATTGCCCTTTGACATCCATTATGTTGGCGCTTGCTTCTTACCCAAGTCATTATTACTAGGAGCTGGGGTTCTTGTAATGCTAGAAGTACACCCACAAGATATTTCATGTGCTAAACTCCAGATTACCTTTTCTTAATAAATATCTCAGGGTAAGAAAAAAAAAAGCATGTAGATATTTTTCAGGAATAGATCCCAGGCATTATACAATGCTTATGCTAAAACAATTGTGAAAGATTTTATAACTTTGTTTTTAGGCCCTAAGTTATTCATCTCATTAAGTGTTTTGTATGAACAGATTTCATTTTGGTGCATTTAAAGCAAGGATGGGCAAACTATGTTAATCAATTGTGGCCACATTCATTCATTTACTATTGTAATTGAAAAGGCAACTAAGCTGTTTTTGCACTACAGCAAAGCCCAGAACTGTACTTAATAGCAAAAGTTTTCTGATTTCTATTCTATAAAGTAATATCTGGGGTGAAGGAAGAGAGGTTGCATTCTCTTTATGATAATTTTGGGGCTACAAGAGAATTTTAATTATTAAGGTGAAGGGGCTAATCTTTCCAAACTAAATGCTATATATATTAGGAAAATAGAAGTTACTTAGATCCAATATAAGGTAATGAGAACTTCAACAGAATGCCTTTATTGCTGGTTTTGTTAACAAGGCATTCTGTATTTTGAATGTAGTTGATCTGACATAGAGAAAGGAAACATTCTTCCCTGTTGGCTCATTTTGGCAAATACACAACAGTAGTAACTACCTGGATATATTTAATAGTGGGAAAGCCAAAATTTTTCTAGAATAAAAAACCTGAAAAGAAAAACACAATCCATCAGTTCATGTATTTTATGTTATTGTATAATGCTTTATAAAATACCGTTTTATTGGTCTTTAAAAAAGTTGACAAAGCTTTTATACTGTTATAAACAAATTGGTTGCAAAAGTGCCTGACAGAATTCAAGGGGCAAATTTATTCAAGTAATAATATTTGAATGTCAGTTTCTTTGACTCATCTGAACGATGTTTATAGTTTCAAGTGGCAATAAATTTCTCTATTTTTTTTCATTCCAAAGACTTCAGTCTTTTATTTGTCTCTTACTACTTATACTTGGTTAGTTTCTTGAGCTCCTTGCATATTTTAGAAATTAGGCTTTTGGTATTAGTGGTAAAGGTCTCCCATTCTGTTGGCTCTCTTTCTACATTAGTTACTATGTCCTTTGATGTGCAGAAACTTTTTTAGTTTGTTGAATATCTCTTATCTCCTGTGCCCCTGGGACTCTTTTCAAAAAGTTTCTATGAGTGCTAGTGTTTCTCCTACTCTTATTGCAATAATTTCAGAAGTTTCAGGTCTGACATTGAGGTCTTTAATCAACTTTGAGTGATTAGTGCATGGTGACAAACAGGGATCCACTTTTAGTTCTCTGCATATGAATGCTCAGTCTATTCCACTGTATATCTTTGGCTCCCTTATCAGATATCAGATAACTGTAAGTATATGGGTTTAGTTCTGGGTCTTCTAGTCTGTTCCATTGATCCTTGAGTCTATTTTTTGTGCCAGTTCCAAGCTGTTTTTGTTGTTAAAGCTCTGTAGTGAAGCTGGAGGTCTGGGATTGTGATACCACCAGCTTTTCTGTTGGTTTTTTGTTTTTTTACCTAGACTTGTTTTGGCTATTCCAAGTCTTGTTCCATATGAATTTTTGGATTGTTTTCTCTATCTCAGTAAAGAACTTCACTGGGATTCTGATGGGGATTTCATTAAATTGGTAGATCATTTTTGGCAGTATGGCCATTTTTACAATATTAATTCTACCTGTCCATGAACATGGAAGATCTTTCCATTTCCTGATTTCAGTTTCTTCAAAGTTTTACAGTTTTTGCTATAGAGGTCTTTTGTTTCTTTGGTTAGGTTTATTCCTAGATATTTTGAGAATATTGCAAATGGTATTATTTTCCTGATTTCTCTCTTTTTGTATGTTGTTGGCATACAAGAAGGCTGATTTATTTTAAGGGTTAATTTTGTACCCAGCTACTTTGACAAACTTACTGATAGGCTCTAGTGGCTTGGGGGTGGGGCCTTTTGGTGGACCTAGAACAAATCATGTTAAATGAAGTGTAAACCAAGCTCAGAGATACAAATGGTTCATGTTTTATCTCTTTTGTGGAGACTGGATCTAAAATAAACTGGGACATAAAAAATAATACAGGTATCCAGGCATTCACAAACAGTGAGACCAAAGGACGACACTCTTAGGAAAGGAAAAAAAAGCACAATACCTATGTGCGTCTGATCATTTATTGAAATGAACTCCAGGAAATGGAAATGAGGTTTGTTTTTTGCTGTTTTTGTTGTCTTTTTGGTTTTTTATCTGTCCTTGGGAAATGAAGGAGCAAAGGGTAAACAAATGCAGCAGTGGTACTAACTGGACACTACACCAAAAATGAACTTGTGGGTGGAATGGGAGGGAAACTGGGAGAGAGGGAAGGGTGATGTCCAAAGGGAAATGTACTTTCTGCCCGACTTAAATAAATGTATAAATAATGTATAAATAAATAAAAGTTATTTCTTGGAAAAGATCCACAAATCTGTTGCCAGATTGACTTCAGAATACAAAGTGGAGATATTACCCACACGTTACAAAGGAAGAATACCACCAATATATTTGGTAACCTGGATGAAATGGGGAAAAAGCCTAAAAGACACAAATTACCAAAACTGACTCAACAAGAAATAGACAATCTGAATAGATACATAATAAAGAGATTGTCAGTAACTAAAAACTTACCAGCACTGAATAAACCTAATGTGAAGTGTGGAGTATGTTCATCAATGTAACAAATTTACCATTTGGGAACAGGATGTTGGTATGGAGAGGGATAATGTGAAGTATATGAGAACTCCATACTTTTATCTAATTTTTTTGTACGCCAAAAATTGGCTATAAAAAAACTGTCTATTTTTCAAAAAAGAGTAGAACGAAAGATTTCCACTGGTGATTCTATTCAACATTTAATGAACAGTTCCAGCCTTTTACTTCTTCACAAAACATTGATGAGGAAGGAACAGGCAATAACACTAACCCGTGCTATGAGGGTAGTATAGCCTAATACCAAAAATAAAGACCACAGAAAATATTATTTCAAGCCAGGTATGGTGGCAAATGCCTTTAATCCCAACTATCCAGAGGAGACAGGAGGATTGTAAATTGGGAGCCAGCCCAAAGTTAAGGAGACACTGTCTCAAAAACAAAATACAAACAAAAAAGCTGGAGGAATAATAAGTGGTAGAGCACCTGCCTAGTTTGCATGATACCCTAGGCTCAACCCAGTAATTCTCCCCCACCAATATTACAGACTAATACCATTTACAGATGAAAAAGTACTCCCACAAATTACAAGTAAACAAAATGTAACAGCATGCTAAAGAGATTATACACCATGATCAGGTAGAATTTATCAGGAATTCAAGAGTGATGAACATAAAATTAACATAGGATAACAGGGAAAAAAAGCCATGACCATCTCAATTATCTCAGCTGTCATAGAAAGTACATATGGTAAAACTTTAAATATTGAGAAAGATGGGCATAATCCAGGTGTGGTAATGCCAGGGACCAGGCATTCCCACCACTCCTGGTGGGATGGCTACTTTCACAATTACTATTAGATATTACAGGACCTTGGGCCGTAAAAGAAAGCATGTCCTATAATCTGGAAAGCAAGTAGTAGTATTACCTATACTATCTTCATTATCCTCTACATGAAAGGTTCCAAATCATACACTAAAGAAAATCTGCTAGCATTAATAAATTCAGAAAAATCCTTAAGTTGAGTGCACAGAACCATTTGTATTTCTATATAACTCAAAATAACCAACTCCATTTACAGTAGTTCAAACAAGGCAATGACTTCTACATTGAAAACTACAAAGCCATTGCTACACTAAAAATACATCCTACGTTCATAGACTGGAAGACAATTCTAAGAATTGCCTTCTACCCAGAACAATTACAGATTAACCACCTTTTTTTTCTTTTACAAAAATGGAAAAGCTGATCATAAACCTTATGTGAATTGTAACACCTCTGAGTATAACTGAAACAAAGGTGAAAAAAAAAAGTTGGATTTATAACTTAAATTTCAAACTAGAAAGCTATCATTAAAATATGCTAATGGAATAAGATTGGGCATGTCAATTGTGGTATAGAATTGAAGGTTAAAAAATAAACACATCTGGGCTGGGAAGGTGGCTCAGTGGTAGAGCACTTGCCTTGCATGCCTGAGGCCCTGGGTTCGATTCCTCAGCACCACATAAGCAAAAAGAAAAAAAAAAGCCGGAAGTGGTGCTGTGGCTCAAGTGGTAGAGTGCTAGCCTTGAGGTGAAGAGCTGAGGGACAGCGCCCAGGCCCAGAGTTCAGGCCCCTCGACCGGACCCAAAAAATAAATAAAATAAACACATCTGTGATCAGCTGGTTTTCAACAAGAGTGGAACTTATTCAATGAGAAAAGAATCTCTTCAAAAAGTGGTGCTGGAACAATTGGATATGCATATGTGCAAAAGAGTTAAGTTGAATCTGTGTGTCACTGTGACACAGTAAGAAAGCTGTTTTCACCATGTCCCAGTTTCTGGCTGGCATGCTTCTAAGTGGTAGGTACTGTCTCTGTACTAATAAGGTCACTACTGGGGATTCAGGATGAGATAGTTGCCAAAGTGTGAATTAACTACTCATGTCTAGGTATTTTAGCTTTAACCCAGAGAAATGCAACAAATAGGACTGTCACGGGATTGTATTATTTATGTAAAACATTTGCAACAATACCAAGCACATTTTTAAGTGCAAAAAAGTATGGCTTATTGTGTAGCATACCTAAAATACTATTATGCATAATTATATCTTTTTAAGTATTAAGAGTTGACATTAGTCCTACACTATTTAAATTCAAAGTTAATAATAGGACTTTGTATATAAGGCCTTAGAAAAGGCTTATTCAAGAAGTCATTTCTCTTACTTTATGAAATATTCTGCTACAATTTTTTAATAGGAATGATGAAAAACAATTTGTCTCTTTTTTGTATCTTTTCTAGATTGAAATATTAATAATTTAGAAGCAGAACAGAGTTCATTTACTGATCCATTTGTTGCATGAAGTAAAAGATGGCACAATACATTCCAACACTGAGAGAAGTTTATTTTCTTTTAGTGTCAAAAAACAAATTTAAATTCACCACCAATATCACCAAAAGACAAATACCATTTCCACAATTTAGAGTATTACCAAAACACAAGACCCATAAGAAATGATATCCAAATTCTGATAACAGCAGGTGCCAAATGAAGTATTTAATAGACTCTTCTACTGATCAGTACTGATCAGTAAAACGAAAAGCTTTGGCTTCTGCCATATTATACAGGTGGTTCTGTATATGTTTAGTACGTCTGGCTTCTAGTCGGAGCTGTCTAGCTCTCTCTTTGACAGCTTGTTGCTCTGCTATTTTTTCTATCCGTTTCCTTCTGAGCCATCTGTAGGAAAAGGCACTTGGTGAGTATAACGATACATTTTTCATGCTATAAAGTTAGGAAACTATTTTTTACATTAAAATACCATAACAAATTATTAAAGTAGCAACTGAAAATTTTAAAGCATATGCCCAAGGCTTACTCAAGAAAACATAATTATATTTGGGAACAAATAATGACATTTTCAATGATTAAACTGCCAACTGCCAACTTTTTACTACCAAGCACTAAGCTTCTTACTACTAAGCACAATATTTTTAATGTCTTATAAGTCTATCTTTCTTTTTAAAAGATGGGTTTGTAAGTAATTATTTGATAAGATTCAAAATAACTTTTTGCAAATAGCTGTATTCTAAATGATTAAATATTCATGTTAAAACACTAATGATGCAAAAATGCTGCCTTAATCTTCCTAGGAAGAAAACTATAGTGCTCTTGTGCTTTTTAGTGCATGAAATAGTTCTTCCTTAAAATGGAAAAAAAAAAAAAAAGCACCTCAGTTTGAAAGCATAAAATGTGGTAAAGAAGGAATCCACACTCCAAATACCCAAGTCTATAAATCTTGCTTAGTTATAATACCATAAAAACTATGTACCCATAAATCTGGTAATATATCTTATCTGGTATATATAATTGTATAGGTATAGAGAGAGAGACTTTATTTCAGAAATAAGTCTAAGCAATCAAGTAACAGAAGAAAATCTCATAATTTCATATGTTCCTGCATTGGCTACAACTCTAACCAACTACCTTTTAGTCAATTATTGATCAGTTGAGGAAAATGTATATGGAATGGATTACTACAGTAGGTACAGTATGGTTTCATTTTATATTTTTAAATTATAAATACACATACAGAGGAATATATCAATGACATGAGCTCCAGAGCTAACAGTCATGGTTATGATTTATGAGTGATAAAAATGTAACAATTTCCCTTTTCTCCATTGGGCAATTACTGTTTATGTTATAATAAATGGTGGAGGAGGGTAAAGGAGTCCAAATAAGTAGACTCAACATTCTCCCCAAGTGGACTCAACATTCTCCCCAAGGCTTACTAAGTCCCAAGTCTCTCTTCTCAAGAGTTAGTGAGATAAAGCAGTTTTGCCAAATAAGGATAAGAGGACAGGTGTTCTTTTGTAAATGTTCTGCTTTTAGCTTACTGTTTAAAAGCCCTTTCTCGGCCTTCTGTTCCTTGAAGGAAGAATAAGCATTCCTCTTGCTTTCTTAGTTCTTCTGATTTTCTTTCTTTCATCTGCTCATCATGCTTTTTCTTAAGCCACAATCGAAAAGCTAGCTGTGGATCTCTGTTTGCCTGCTGAGGAGAGAAACAAGCTTTGCTTAATTCAGATAAACTAAAAGTATCACTATCTCACAGAACTGACAAATTTGTGAAATTTTATAAACACTCAATCTCAAAAAAATACCATTTGAGGCCCTACCTATGAAACCTTACAAGAATGCCTTGCTTGTGAATTTTTCAAAACCCTAAATACATAGCCTAACTGCAGGCTATGTATCCAAATCAATGTATCACCCTAGAGTGGACAGTACTGGTCACACTGCTGTCAGAAAATTCAACCTGGAACCTTCTGATGTCTGGCTCTTGTCAAATGTCTTCTTGAAAAGACAGGATCTATATAGTACAGTGCTTCACTAGCATGTTCCAATATCCTGATTTCAACTTCTAGCATTAAATGTCTTGAGATAATCAGTAAATAAAGAAAAGTAGAAAAATGTTGATTTTCCAAGTTGAACTCTCTATTAAGTAAAATAATGTTACACAAAGCTACAAACATGTAAAACCAAGAATTGAAGAGAAGTTGGGGATAGGCAATAAGAATAGAGTTAAGGTCTTTGGAACAGTTCCTAAAGGAGCTCTGGGAAATACAATTAGTAAAGAAACCATTCAACACCTGTGTTCCTCATCTTTTCTCTTATAACTTTTTTCCATTTTAAGAGTTATCAGTCAGAACCTACTTAATTGCTAAGCCCATCTTCATACTGTGGTTACTTCTCAGTAGTGGCTGAATTTTACCTGTAATCCTAGCATGCCAGGAGGCTGTGTCAGGAGGATCATAAATTTGAAGCCAGCCTGGGCTACAAAACAAGATCTTGTCTCAAAAAAAAACAAAAGAGCAAATAACACTAATTATTGCTGTGAACGGTAGGCATAAAGGTTAGTGTTCTGATAAAGTTGAACAGCCCAGAGCATTTCACCTAAGAACAGCCTGCAGGAGTAGCTCACTTCTTAGTCCCTCAGAGTTCTTGATGGATACATCTGTAAAGAACTTCCTAACACTAAAAAATGTCCGAAAGGATCTGGTTTGGAGAAATAACGGAGAAGAGACAAGCTAGGGCTCTTTTATCTTAGAAAACCATGACATGACATTGTGTGGCTACAAGAAAAGGATACACTTGCCCCACACACAAGCTCTACCACACCAAAGAACTTCTCCAGCTTGCACTCTCTCATCTGTAACTTAGATTGCCAAGCATGCTCTACCACACCAAAGAACTTCTCCAGCTTGCACTCTCTCATCTGTAACTTAGATTGCCAAGCATGCTCCATTCTAATTTATATGCTGCCTCTGTTCAGTATCTTGGCTACACAAGTGACCTGTAGGGAGAGAATCCCTGGTTCTGAAGGATCAGTGCTGAACATCTGAATGTCTAGAGATAAGTGAAGATGGCCGAGAAGTGTGCAGTCTGAGATTCAGAGAGGAGCCAAGGAACAGGAGTGTCCATTCATTCACTCCATAGATTTACAGTATTTTCTACATAGGAGGCACGTAAGCACTGTATTGTGTCAATGATAAAAATAAGGGTCCTTCTTTTTCTCTGCCTGCAGTGTACACCACAGGATATCACCTCATATGAGGTCATTTAAGTTACATTTAAATTTTAAACTTTACTATCAATTAAGTAAGTTGCTGCATTCCTGGCTAGACTGGGAGATATTGTAAGAACTAGTGGCAAATCTCACCCATGGGTAAGATTGATGGGAATACATTGAAAACATCCCTCCCTCTTTATAAAAAAGCTCACAACAATAATTACAAACATAAAATGTGAATTTAAAAGTAATTACTAGCCGGGCACAGGTGGCTCACGCCTGTCATCCTAGCTACTCAGGCTGAGACCTGAGGATTGCGGTTCAAAGCCAGCCCGGGCAGGAAAGTCCTGAGACTCTTATCTCCAATAAAACCACTAGAAAACCGGAAGTGGCGCTGTGGCTCAAGCGGTAGAGTGTTCTCCTTAAGCTGAAGAGCTGAGGGACAGCGCCCAGGTGCAGAGTTCAAGCCCCACGGCCAAAAAAAAAAGGAATTACTAACAGATTAAACTTTTTGATTACAAAATAAAAAATGTCTTTGAATTGTGATATTCTACCATCCATCCATCCAGTCACACATACACACACACACACACACACACACACACACACACACACACACATACACTCACAAACACCTCATTTAGCTCTATTAAAGCTGGTAATCTAACAACTTCTGGATCAGTGTTCCTCTCCAGCCTATTCCTAAGTAGTATTTATGATTAACAAGGACCCATTCGAAGCCAGCCTCCCGGATCTCTGACTGAGCAATAACTCTCCCCAGGCCATGTGCTGCCCTGGTCTATAGCCACATAGGCGACTCCACAAGCCACTCTATCTCTGCAGTCACTCATCTACCTCCTATCTCCAGCCCCAAACTCTCTGATTACAAGACAGATTCTCCAGTTAATCTTCAACATCCTCACCTGAATCTTTCATAGGTACAGGAAAACTCAACAGCTTACTAAGTGCCCTGATAATGTCCCCAAACTAGTGTCTTATATACTACGCCAGGGGACAGCACCGCCACCCCCAAAACTGATCAGAAGGAAACCCAACATACTCTTCTTTATCTCACACACTTTACATAACCAATTACTAAAGCGCATCTCAAATCCCTTTATCCACTGCCATAACCCTAACCAAAGTGGCCATAACCTCTCACTGGAACTAGTACATCCGATTCCTATTATCAGCTCTGGATCTTTCTAATTCGTAGCAGACATAAAGGCAACACTGTGGAAATACATCCTGGAAGTGCTGTACCTGTGCTTTACGGAGGTCCTGGCTTCTGGCAGCTCCATCAAATAAAAATGCACAATACAGCATGTGCACCACATGATTCCTGCTCATGTTCTAAATCCTCGCACACTCATCAAGCAATAACTGCTCTCAAGACGTTTCCACGTGTTTTCTTGACCTGAAGAAACTGCTCCAATTCTTGGCCTGATTTCTGCTGCTCCTACTTTCACTGACTTATAAAAACTTTTCCTGAACTATTAAAATACATGTTTCCCTTGTTTATGATTTCTCATAGCTTATTTTGCATGGAATTCAACAATATTTCTAATTTTTAAAATTAAATCTTTACTATATGAGCTCTGATGACAGAGGCCTTCATACCGTCTGCGAATCAGCACTCATCACATGCCAAATGCAAAGTTTAATAAATTGTTTTGAAGTACAACCTTCCTGTCCCGACATTCCAAGCAGTTGGGATTACAAATATGTACCACCATGTTTTGTTTTGTTTTGTTTTGTGGCTGTGTAGCTAACAAAAGTATAGCTACCTCATTCCAAGATTTTAAAAGCTAAAAGCTTCTACAAACTATGTATAAAAATTACCAATAATTTGTCTATTACTTTAAATTATTTTAAAAACCTGAATACACAATAAAAAATTCATAGAAGATTTTTCACATTTCATAAGGAGAAAAACTAACTTTCCTGGTTCATTCACCCTCCATAAAAAAGAATGTGTGGAGTGTTTTTCTGCCGTGCTATCTTGTTACCCTACAGTGTGACTCAACTCTGACTTCGCCTGGAGTGAACATGAGTCTCAGTCTCTTATAGTTTCCACTATAAGAGCCCCGTCTCCCAAGGCTGCCCTCACCTCAGATGCCAACTGAAAGTCTGATTGTGACCGGTGCTTCTGATTAACCAACTATAAATCTGGGAGCTAACGCAACTCGTAGACTAAAGGAAACACAGGTATCTATTCACTACGTTAATAAAGAATGTAGTTGGGTTTTGTGTGCGCAACTATATGGTCAATACGAGTAAGCCAGAGGAGGAGAATCATGGAAGGAGGATCAGGGGTCAGAGGCCAGCTTGGGCTACATATCAAGTTCAAGGCCAGCTTGGGCTATATAGCAACAGTCTACTAAACAATAAATAAAAATTAAACTTAAAAAATTAAAAACCCACCAAACAAAAGCATACAATAATCCAAGTGTCAGTAAGTTTATGCCTGTAAACCTAGCTACTCAGGAGGCTAGGATCTGTGGGTTGAAGTTAAAGTCAGTCCAAGGGAAAATCTGTGAGAGACTGATCTCCAAGTAACCACCCAAAAGCCAGAAGTGGAGCTGTGTGCTCAAGTGGTCCAGTGCAAGCCTTCAACACAAACGCTCAAGGACAGCACCTAGGCCCTGATTTCAAGCCCCAAGACTGGCAAGAAAAGGTTGAAAAGGTTGTCATTGGAATATGAGTCTAGAAGAGCTAAGGAAAGAATATAAATTTCTCTTCTTTGTGTGTCTGTCTCTGTCTCTATCTCTGTCTCTGTCTCTGTTATATATATATGCATAAAAGTGTTATATATGCATATAAGTGATATATATGCATATATATGTGATTTCTGTATGTATCTAAAGTAAGATTAATCTGTAAGTGTGTGGAATGAAGGGATATGTATCTATGTCTTATTTGAATATCAAAATTATACCACCTTAAAAATGAATTAGCCACTTTCCATTTTTTGTGCTAAGGACTTCTGAATAATATGAGGATCATTTGGTTTTTACAGGGCTCCTTAGAAATTAAAAATTCACCTGCATTTTACATCTTTTGCAGGGAGCTCTTATACATTCTATATTCAAAGATTCTTAGTCTGATATTAAGACTCTCTTCTGTAAAGAAGATCCACTTTAATATATATATGAACTTGCTTATCATCTGGACATTCTACTTACTCTGTTGTTCATGTATTCAATTTGCTTTGCTCGCTGAATTCTTCGCATTTCTAGAACCTGCTCTCTCTTCTTTTGCAACCACGCTTTAAACACCATGTCATTCTCTTTTTTCTTTTCTTTCTCTTCTTCTATTTTCCGTTGTTCTTCCTGGAAGAAAGAATATGAAAATACATTCATAAAAATTAATGAAATTGGTTCTCAAGATGGCGACGGGGCAGTAGGGAAACGCCACAGCTCTCTCCAACCAAAAAGAGAGTTCGAGTTCCAACCTTTAATCTCCCCAAGAGACCGACAACAACAAAAAGACGAACACTCAGAGAAAAACCAGAGGTGGAAAATAACAAAAAAAGAAAGAGAGGAAAAGAAGAATTTCAGAACAGAGAAGAGCGAAGACCCCTCCCCCAACCTTTACTGGCCGCGCGGCAGTGCGCCAAGCCGCCGGCCAGCCGGCCCGGCAGGGGCTGCCGGAGCCACAGAGACACAGGGGGCTGCTTGCAGATCACCAGGTACCGGATTGCAGAACAGCGGATCGCCAGGAACAGAGAAACCTACCAGCCGGGAGTCTCCAGGAGGATCCCACCCCACCCATCACTCTCCACCGGAGCGGAGAGGCTCCATCCCGCCAAAGCCGCCCGGCACCAGCAGCGCCACAAAGGGACCTGTCGGCACCAGCAGCGCCACAAAGGGACCTGTCGAGATCGCAACGACCCGGCGGGGGGCCGCCCAACCCAGCCCGCAACCACCCCAACTGAACTCGGACTGCAACAACAACTGACGGACTGCAACAACAACTGACGACCTACAGGGTGAGTACCCATCAGGGGACAGGGAATCCATCAAGGGAGACCAGAGCTGGAGGGAATCCCCAGACCCTGACCTAGACTCCCTACCCCAACACCCGGACCACAGGACCCACTAAAACTGGGAACTGTTCGAGAGCCCCACCAGCCGGTGGAGCACACTCTGCTGGCCAGGCCAGAGCAAGAGCGCCCCGGGAAGGGAGCTTAAATGCTCAAGCCAGGAACAGTGCCCCTGGGTCAAGACTACCAACAGTAGAAGAAATTTGAACTGTGTCCTCCAGGCTGCATAACCAAGGTGGTATACACATTAGCACAGGCCTAACGAGCGCGCTCCAGGCTGGGGCCGGAACCAGGCCAGGGGACCGGCGCCTGAACAAAGCAAAAAGGGTCAGAAGTGGGGCTGTGGCTCAAATGGTAGGGTGCCAGCCCTGAGCTGAAGAGCTGAGGGACAGCACCCAAACCTAGAGTTCAAGCCCACAACCAGCCCAAAACAAACAAAAACACATCAGGAGCCCATAGCAGACTCCAGTATTTGGGAGAGTGCATCCAGAGCATCTGATCTTCCCAAGAGCACCCGCAGGAGCAAACACAAGCAGTCTAGGCTGCTCAACCCTTCCAAAGGCGGGAATTGCTACAGCAGAGAGCTGAGAATCCTAAGTGAATAGCAGCTGGAAATAGGCTCCCAACAGAATCCAGATCAGACACAGACTCTCTCTACCAATAGAGAATCAGCAACCAAGCAAAGACAGACACACCAAAACAAGATTGAAGAGCAGTCTCCTGAACCCCCATGCGAAAATCACAGAGAAAAATCACAAGGTTTACCACTACCCAGGACAGCAAGCTCACCTCAAAAGCCAGCAGCCACGCAGGGGAGAGCCCCAGTGGGAGCAAAGCAGGAATGGAAGACAAAAACTACATCCAAGGGTTGCTGGAGGCAATGACTCAAGAAATAAAGCGAGAAATGGATCAGAAATTGAAAGAGCACAAGGATGAACTATCAAAAGATATACAGGACATCAAACAAAAGTTGGATGCAAAAATAGAAGCTGCACAAACCTCAGTAAGAAGTGAGATAAACGCCAAATTAGAGGTAATGCATACTGATATCACCTCATTGAGAGGTGAGATCAGTACTCTGAGAACCAACATTGAATCCATAAAGGGATCCATTTCCATCATGCAAACCACAATAGAAGCCACGGTCAACAGAGTGAATGAAATGGAAGGTAGAGTGTCAGATACAGAAGACAGAATACACCAACTGGACCAAAAAGTGACAGATATGGAAAAATCACTCAAATTAAACCAAAGGGAAATTCAAGAGCAAGCAGATAATGCTAAAAAATTTAACCTTCGCATAATCGGAGTGGACGAAGGTGAGGAATTCCAGAGCAAGGGAATGCAACACCTATTTAACAAGATAGTCAATGAAAATTTTCCCCACCTCAAAAACGACCATCTTAACTACATCACAAAAGCTTATCGAACACCCAACAAGCAAGATCCCAGGAGAAACACTTCTAGGCACATAATAGTAACAATGATGGATCTGAATAATAAGGAAACAATCCTGCATGCAGCAAAAATGAAGAAGGAGCTATACTACAACGGGAAAAAAATTAGAATCACTGCAGATCTCTCCACACAAACAATGAATGCAAGAAAAGCCTGGGAAAGCACCATACGAGCCCTGAGAGCCAATAACTGCCAACCCAGACTGATATACCCGGCAAAGCTAGCATTCACATTCGATGGAGAACTGAAAACTTTTAATAGCAAAGAAAAACTAAATGAATACATAAACATTAAGCCAGCATTACAAAGAATTCTAAGAGGGGGGACACAACCTGAAGAAAGCAACCAGGAACTGGGACCTGCCCCAAACAGGCATTACTCAAAGTCTAACTGAGCAAGCACAGGAGGAAAGGAAAGAAGAAAAACTTAGGAAAACGGAATGGCAGGGACAACAATGCATCTCTCTATACTTTCTCTTAATATAAATGGGCTGAATTCGCCAATTAAAAGAAAACGAACTGAGGACTGGATCAGAAAACAAGACCCATCCATCTGTTGCCTTCAGGAGACCCACCTCTCAGCCAAACATACAAACAAACTCAGAGTGAAGGGGTGGAAAAGGATCTACCAATCAAATTCCCCCAATAAGAAAGCAGGTGTAGCTATCCTGATATCTGACAAAATAAACTTTTCATTAAAATCAGTACAGAAAGACAAGGACGGACATTACATATTAATAAAGGGAACAATCCAAGAGGAGGATATAACCATCATCAACTTATATGCCCCAAATATCGGTGCACCCAGATATGTTAAACAAATGCTCTCAAACTTACAGAATAAAATAGATCCCAATACGATAATACTAGGAGACTTTAACACGCCACTCTCACCAAAGGACAGGTCTACCAACCAGAGGATTGGCAAAGAAGCTACCGAATTAAGTGAGGCCATACTTCAAGCGGAATTAACTGACATCTACCGAGTATTTCACCCTAAAACAACACAGTACACATTCTTCTCAGCAGCTCATGGAACTTTCTCCAAAATAGACCATATCATAGTTCATTCAAGGAACTTAAGCAAATACAAAGGGATCGACATAATCCCCTGTATCCTATCTGACCACAGTGGAATCAAGCTAGCTCTCAATAACAAAGCATACCGCAGAAATTTCTCTAATACATGGAAATTGAACAGCACACTCCTTAACAAGGCCTGGGTAACAGAAGAGATCAGAGAAGAAATAAAGCATTTCCTAGAACTCAATGAAAATGAAAACACCTCACAAAGAAACTTGTGGGACACAGCAAAAGCAGTCCTGAGGGGCAAATTTATTGCCCTCAGTGCCCACATCAAGAGAATGGAGACAGACCAAGTAAATAATCTCATGTTGCAACTAAAACAGCTAGAAAAACAAGAAAAAATGGGACCTAAAGCTACTAGACGAAGCCAGATAACCAAATTGAGAGCAGAGATTAACCAATTAGAAAATCAGAAAACCATAACCAAAATAAACCAAACAAAAAGCTGGTTCTTTGAAAAAATAAACAAAATTGATGGCCCGTTGGCAAGATTAATTAAAAAAAGAAGAGAGGAAACCCATATTAATAGGATTAGGGATGCCACGGGAAACATCACAACACGTACCCAAGATATCCAAACAATTCTAACAGACTACTTTCAAAAGCTATACTCTCTAAAGGAAGAAAATCTGGCGGAAATGGATGCATTTTTAGAGAAATACAAGTTACCCAAACTGAGCAAAGAAGAAGTTAACCAATTAAATAAGCCAATATCCTATAATGAGATACAGGAAGCTATCAAAAGTCTTCCAACAAAAAAAAGCCCAGGACCAGATGGATTCACAGCAGAATTCTATAAGACCTTTAAAGAAGAACTAATACCCATACTCCTCAAGCTCTTCAGAGAAACAGAGAAGGAGGGAGCTATCCCAAACTCATTCTACGAAGCCAATATCACACTCATCCCCAAACCAGGCAAAGACCCAACCAAAAAGGAGAATTACAGGCCAATCTCCTTGATGAACACAGATGCAAAGATCCTTAACAAGATTCTAGCTAACAGAATCCAGAAACACATAAAAAAAATAATACACTATGATCAGGTAGGCTTCATCCCAGAGACACAGGGATGGTTTAACATACGTAAGTCAATAAATGTAATCCAGCATATCAACAGAGCCAAGGTCAAGAATCACATGATTATCGCCACAGATGCAGAAAAGGCCTTTGATAAAATTCAACATTCATTCATGCTAAAAGCTCTGGAGAAAATAGGAATAGAAGGAACATTTCTAAAAACAATAAAAGCCATTTATGACAGACCAATAGCCAATATTATACTTAATGGGGAAAAGCTACAACCAATCCTCCTAAAAACAGGAACAAGGCAAGGATGTCCACTGTCTCCACTCCTCTTCAACATAGTCCTAGAACCCTTAGCCAGGGCAATAAGGCAAGAAAAAGACATTAAAGGGATCCGCATAGGGAAAGAAGAAGTGAAACTATCCCTTTTTGCAGACGACATGATACTATACCTCCACGATCCCAAAAACTCCATCCCCAAACTTTTAGAAATCATAAGTCACTTCGGCAAAATAGCAGGATACAAAATAAACCCACAAAAATCAGTTGCCTTCCTATACACTGATAACGCACAGGAAGAGAGGGAAATAAAGGGAGCAACCCCATTCACAATAACCTCCCAAAAAATAAAATATTTAGGAATTAACCTAACCAAAGATGTAAAAGAACTATTTAATGAGAACTATAAAAAGTTAAAGAAAGAAATTGCAGAAGACACTAGGAAATGGAAAGACCTCCCATGCTCCTGGATAGGCCGACTTAATATAGTAAAGATGGTGATACTTCCAAAATTAATATACAAATTCAATGCAATTCCTATTAAAATCCCAATGACATACATCACTGAAATACAGAAAACAGTCCAAAAATTTATATGGAACAACAAAAGACCTAGAATAGCCAAAACAATTCTAGGGGATAAAGACAATATGGGAGGGCTATCCATGCCGAACTTCAAACTCTACTACAGAGCTATAATCACAAAGACAGCATGGTACTGGCACAAAAACAGACCCGAAGACCAATGGAACAGAATAGAAGATCCAGATATAAATCCACAGGCCTACAGCCAGCTGATATTCGACAAAGGAGCCAAAGACATACAATGGAAGAAACACAGCCTCTTCAACCGCTGGTGCTGGGAAAACTGGGCAGCCACATGCAGAAAACTAAAAGTGGACCCCAGCCTATCACCATGCACCAACATCAACTCAAAATGGATTAAAGACCTTAACATTAAACCTGAATCTCTGAAACTACTGCAGGACAGAGTAGGAGAGACACTTGAACTAATAGGCACAGGAAGGAACTTCCTGAACAGAGTCCCAGGGTCACAACAAGTTGGAGAGAGACTCGACAAATGGGACTACCTTAAAATAAAAAGCTTCTGCACAGCTAAATCTATCGCAACTAAGCTAGAAAGACAACCAACGAATTGGGAAAAAATATTTACCAGCAATATATCAGACAAGGGGTTAACATCCTGTATATACAGGGAACTCAAGAAACTAATCCCTCCCAAACCTAACAAACCAATTACTAAATGGGCAAGGGAACTAAAGAGGGACTTCTCAAATGAAGAAATAAAAATGGCAAAGAAACACATGAGGAAATGTTCATCATCCCTGGTGGTGAAGGAAATGCAAATAAAGACAACCCTGAGATACCACCTTACCCCAGTCAGAATGTCCCACATCCACAAATCAGCCAACGACAAATGCTGGAGGGGATGTGGAGAAAGAGGAACCCTATTACACTGCTGGTGGGAATGTACACTTATACAACCACTTTGGAAAGCAGTCTGGAGGGTCCTTAGAAAGCTAAAGATTGACCTCCCTTACGACCCAGTCATACCACTTCTAGGCATCTACCCTGAACAACAGGAACCAATATACAAGGACACGTGCACCTCCATGTTTATTGCAGCACTGTTCGCAATAGCTAGGATATGGAAACAACCTAGGTGCCCCACCACAGATGAATGGATCCAAAAATTGTGGTATCTATACACAATGGAATATTATGCAGCCATTAGAAATGACAAAATAATGGCATTTGCAGGGAAATGGATGGAGCTAGAAGGAATCATGTTGAGCGAGGTAAGCCAAGAACGAAGAGACAAACGGTACATGGTCTCCCTCATAAGTGGATGCTAAATCCAAAAGGTTAGTGATACGACAAAACTAACAGGACTTAAGAAACAAAGAACTCCCGCTCATCTGGTTGAACCACTACTAAATATCCTCATGCTGCTGATCACAAATATGGTATATAACATGTGAACACTGTTATATATTACAGACTGTGGTAGACAATTTGCTCCAGGGAAGTTAGAATGAACTTGTGACTTTGAAATTATGTAATCATTTAATCACAATCAAAAAAAAAAAAAAAAAAAAAAAGAACCTCGGGGAAGGGAGGGAGGGAGGGGATGGTAGGGGGAAAACAATGGAGGGGGTAACAATGTTCAAGAGGAAGTGTACTCATAACCTCACTCATGTAACTGTGACCCTCTGTATAGTAGCTTTACAATAAAAAAAAAAAAAAAAAAAAAAAAAAAAAATAAAGAGCAAAGTTTCCAAGATTAAAAAAAAAAAAAAAAAAAAAAAAAAATTAATGAAATTATGTATCTGTTCAACATATTTTGAGGCATAAAATCAGAATCTCTGCCCCTGGAACTTTGCATGCATTTTAAACTTCCATCTTGGGAATAACAGGGCCTCAGGGAAGAGGAAGATGGAAGCTGACACACCACGTTGTACAGCTGTTCTCATACCAAACTACCAGAAGAGCAAACACACTCAGGACTTGTGGCACCGCAGATTTGCCTAGCCCCACATTGTGACAAATATGCCATAGGTACTGCTGGGCACAAAACACAGGCAGGAGTCAGAGGCCAGCTGCAGTTGGTGAGCACAGCGCGGTGGCTGAGATCTCACAACCAGACTGGCAGCTCCACTGGGGATTTCCCAACCAATGGCACCCTGGAAACCCTGCCTACTGGCACAGCTCGGCCCCTTACCCCAGATGCATCTTGGAAATCTGGTTCAGAAGCTACTTATTCTCAGCAAAGCCAAAGCTCAGCACGGTGCTGCTGGTCCCTGTGAAGTGGCAGAGCTGGAGATGTGGAGAACGCCAGGCCTCAGGTGAGGAGTGAAACCCATTGAAACCCATGGAGTCCACTGACCTACACATACCCCGAATCAAACCCCTGAAATCAGGACTTGTAACTACACTTGGTGCCTACTACATCCAACAACTATGTGTCTTTTTTCCACATGACGTGTAATTTTCACCTATCTCCTATCAAAATTACTTTCAATGACCACTTAATTCTGAGTCTTCACCCTTAAAATGAGAGGACCAAGTGATGTTCTCGCTGAGATCCCTCTTACTCTACAACAGATCATTCCACTATGCTTTGTGATGGTTACAAGAAAGGCGTATGTAATAAGTCATATAGTTAATCATTTATACGTTAGTAACACTTAACCATTCGATTTCACAATAGAAAAACAAAGCAAGCAACCTCAAACACTTTTGAAGAAGCATTTCTGTTACATTCCCAAAATACCTCTACTTTCATTCCTACCTCTCTCTTGAGCTTCTCTCTCCTTTGTTCTAGTTGTTTTTGGAGTTCTTTCTGTCGAGGGGAAAGGCAGTAGGTCGAGGTCACTGGAGATATATTGGCGGACTGTGTCCGGTGGGATTTCCTGCTTCCTTTATTTCGATCTAAGTTGGCAGCAGAGCTGGGACGAGCTTTGGGGTTGGGTGGTGGCTGAGGAACGTAAGCCAACGGCTCTCCCGGTGATGAGTGAGTGATGGCATGACTCTTTCCTGACGTTTCATCTTTCTTCACACCACTGGCAGATGAGTTAGGAGATCTGAGTAGCAACTGCGGAGGCTCATTTTCTATACTACTGGCATTATTAATGGGAGGCAAAAACCCTTGGCTCTCAATGTCTTGCAAATTCAGAAGTTCAAACTTCCCGTCTCTCTCTATCAGTATCTTCCCATCCCTGTTTTCTTCACAGCTTCTGTCAGGAAGTGACAAGATCACGTTTTCTTGTTCTAATTCATTGGAAATATATAACTGTGACAGTTTTCCAGACATATTATTCTCATTTTCAAAAGAATTTTTACAAGTATCATTGTTATCAAGGGGAGGAACTTCCAGATCAACTAATTTGTCTTTGAATTTAAGTTTTCGCTCCCTTTTACTACTTATGGGTTCTTGATTCTGTAGAATATTGTTAGCTTGTATAATTTTCTCCATAATATATCTCTTTACTTCCTCATCTTCATCTTCTTCATGGTCTTTTTGGTTTTCTGGCTTGGAATCCTGAGAAGAGTTTTCACTATCTGAATCTGATAGGGGATCTAAAGGCTGGATACTTGGTACAGAAATGAAGTCATTTCTTCTTGCAGAAGCCTCATCCTTAACAGATGTGTCAGAATCTGAAAGCTGCTGGGTATGTTCTTTTTCAGTGTCACTCTCCTTCAATTCCTGGTTAATATCCTCTTCCTGCTTACAACTCACCTTAAATAAAAGATAATGAGGTTGTATTTTTTTCAGTAAAATCAAGGTTCTGTTCATTTTTATCTGAACAATACAAAATGGATGATCTTTCCTATTCGTGTGATTTGTTTTGAACAGGAAATTCGAAGTGACTCTTGCTCATACTTCAATCCTAATATTCAAATATATATTTATGAACAGCCTAAGAGAAAAATATACAGCGGCTAGAGCCATACTTCGAGGCCAACACAACATTATTTTAATATTATGCCCGCTGTAATAATTTTAATTTTTTTACATTTTTGGAAAAAATTTTGAAACATTACCTGCTTGCAAGATTTACATGCTTAAAAACCCCTATGTACAACATAATAATAACAATAGTTATCTTTTTAAAGAAAATAAAAATCTGGAAGCAAAACAACAACAACAAAATCTTTCTCCCCAGGCTATTATTAGATAAAGTCCTTTAGTTGTGTCCTAATCATGGCTGCTAGTATCTACAGAACACATATTCAAATTCCAAAGCTATGTTTACCTCTATATCAAATTTTCCTTTCTCACCTCCACCGGACATATAAATAATCCATACTAACTACTTTAGTTGGCCCTACATGTCTGCAATTTCATGTAAAGGCTTCTGTCATCTCTCCCCTTGATTATACATACCTCTTCCCTTACCAAAAATTTAACCATCAGAGCATGTGTTTTTTCCTCTTTCTCAGACAATTCTTTCCCTCTTACTGCAGTTCTATGGGAACTACAACATGCTGATTTCTGCTCCTTAAAATTATGTTCCTCTTTTATTTGCTCAACAATCATCTCTTTTGACAACCTGTACTTCCTAACCTGCAAATTATTGTGTGATATCTGATAAGGAAATAAATCTAGTACATTACAATGACTGCCAAATAACTAGAGTTAATATCTTTGCCTTGCAATTCTTTCTTTTCCTTTGATTCTCTGCTTTATTTCTTCAGTGTCCATAAGATGTCCTTTGGCTTTCATTTCTTTTCCTTCAGCACTTTTTCTTTTAGAAAGAAATCTTCACCTCAACCATTCACTGTTCCCAGCTTGCTAATCTCTTTTTCCCACCAGTAGCAAAAAGAAGTTGCTAGAATCATGCATGGAAATGTGTAGGATTCAAGAAAGCATTTTGTTTTGATTCCTGTGGTATCCCTAGAATAGCCCCTGACCTAGTAGGTAGTCATTATCTTTGCTGAGTGAGTAAAAAAGTAAAACTATGAACCGTCACTATTATTACTTCTCTCATTTTATCAGCCAGTACTTTGAATCTCTCACACCATTCCACTCTGGAGAACTTTGGTTCAATCATACCACTCTGGGTACCTCTGCTGCTATTCATTTTTATTATTTTTCTGTTAAGATGCATAAAACTCCCTTTTAAAAGCTGTTTTAGAAGAAAACTGCATTTTTTATTCTGTTGCCATCTTCAAATCTTATCTACCCCATTTTTCTTTTCCATCATATAAAAAAAGCAAGATGGAGGTAAGAGAAGGTTTTAAAAGCTAACGCCTTTATTTCCCCATATATTTTCCTTAACTCCATTATATCTGGCCTCTTCTGTAATAATAATGATGATGACTCTTATCACTCTAAAATTACTTATTCAATATCCCAGTCTAACTCCATGTCCTCATTACTTCTCCATTTATTGACACGAACGCGCATGCATATCGTGTAAGCACACACATACACACTATATGCGTAAAGAGAGGAAGGGCCTACCATGAGCCAGGAACTGGTTAAGTTCCTGCATCTTCCTTCTGTATCACTTATTAAAGCATATTATCCTGAGAGCTTTTCCCCTAGAAGTATCTTATAAACTCACAATGACACTTTAATTCTTTCTCTGTATCCATTCCTCTGGAGGGCTTATTCCGTCTTAAATTTTCAACTCCCAGATGAAAGGTTAAGATTTTTTAAAGAATTTGCTTCATTTTGCATTTATATCAAAATACTCCCATGATTGTCCTCAAGTTCACAGAAAACAGGAATCAACTATTTGTTTTTATTTTGATGCAACACGTCATGATCTTATTAGATTGCAATTTTGTAATCACTCTAAATGCCATTTGTAATCTATATATACCTCTATAATCTATATATACCTCTGTTAGGCTGCCATCATTTTGTTCTTTTTCATTAATTAGCCACTCCAGGTCCTTTTCAAAATCATCTTCATATTCTCCACTTTCTTTTGAGTCACTGTCTTTATTGTCATTCATTTTCCGCTTGCTAGAGAATAATGCTGTAAGATTTTAAAAGATAAAGTATATGTTAAGTTGACTTTAAAGGTGGAATGGAATGTGGAGGTTAATGTTGCAGAAATATATAGTATGTAATACTCAGAATAAACATGCATTTTTACATAGCCTAAAAGAAAGACTTGCAATGGCAATGTGTTTCTATAAATGAACATTCCTAACACACACCTACACACATACAAACACACACACACACATACACACACTCGCTCTCTCTCTCTCTCTCTCTCTCTCTTCCTGAAACCCTGATCTGTAAGAAGATTTTTTTAAGCAGATTAGAAGACTGAGACTACGAAAAAGATTTTCCCTCTTTCCCTGCCAATTTGTAACACTCTACTCAAGCTAGTTTTGTTTTATTTTAGTTTTACTTGCATTTTCCCATGTTCAAATAAAAAACAATTATGGAAATTCTCATTGTTTCTCAATCCTTCTAATAACTTACATGACATAATTTGAATTTGTTTTAATAAGTAATAACTGATTCTTAATTATAGTGAATGTTGATTTCTACAGAAGTCAAACTTGTTAATCCTAACTATATTTTTATTAAAAATTTTTTGATAATACTATCACAGAATGTTGTAACAGTAAATAGGACTGTCATATGAAGGATAACAAATGTTTGTTAAAGTGGTATATAAAAAGAATCAATCTAAAGTTATCGTTAAGTATAGGGAAACCAGAATTAACCTTGCTGATTTGTGTAAAATTTTTCAAACCACTCTTTACCTATAAAGTGTCTGTATGTGTGTGTAAAACTGTATATGTATTTGTAAAACTTTGACAATCAGTTGTTTAATTCTTACTATATATATACATGTATTTCTTAGTATACACACATATATGTATTTCCATCATAATTTATAGAGAAGGCCTAGGATTATTGCAGTGGGCTTCCAGTTTTTGAGAGAAGGCAAAGTTAAATAGAAGCCATAGATAAAAACATTTACAATTGAAACAACAGCATATGCAAAGGACTAATAAAGGCAGAAAAACAACTCAGTCTAAAATTAATTATTCAGCTTAATTATTTTTCAATTGAGTAGCTATCATTTTTAATGTATTAGTTAGACTCCAAGTCCTTCCAGATATATATTTTAAGCTAGATATAAAATGACCTTTCCTTAAAATGTCAAAAACAATGCTTCAAGACTAAGTAAGGGGTTAAGGACACTAAGATGTTGATGTGGAGCCAGGTGTGTTGGTGCCTGTTTGTAATCTCAGCACTTGGTCTGGGACTAGCCTGAGTTACATAGAGAGACTCTGTCTCAGCATCCTATCCAAAAAAAATTGTGTGTGTCTATGATGGAGGAACCTAAAAAATACTTCAGAATGAGTTTATTTACCAGTAACCTGCTCCAAGACAGGCTAAATCGCTTAAGCTGTATGTCTACCTGCCTACAAATACAAAGTAAAGGCATTATAAAGATTACAGAATAGGTGGGCACCAGTGGCTCACACCTGTAAATCATAGCTACTCAGGAGGCTGAAATCTGAGGATCGCAGTTCAAATCCAACCTGGGCAGGAATGGCCGTGAAATTCTTATCTCCAATAAACCATTAGAAAACTGGAAGTGGCACTGTGACTCAAGTGGTAGAGCGCTAACCTTGAGCTGAAGAGCTGAGGGACAGCGCCCAGGCCCAGAGTTCAAGACAAATGACTGACAAAAAAAAAAAAATACAGAATACACTAAAATATATTAGAAAGTCATGATGCTAAGATAACTTCTTGAAATTTTTACTTTAAGATGTTTTAGTTATAGTGCTCTTAAATACTGAGCTCCTCAATATTTCCTTTAATTTTATAATATAATTCTGAACTCATAAATAGCTTGCTTAAGACTTGATAGGTATGCTCTATTTACTTCACCCAAGTGAAGACTTAAGTTTAAAACTTAAACACAGAATCAATATAATAAAAATACAATGATTACTCATTAAACATTAGTTAATGGAAAAAACTACTTAAAGTAAACTGAGAAGTACATGAATGTACTTCTAAATGAGTGTAATTGGATTCCTGTAACGTAAGAAAAGTCTCAAGACTGCTTTTCAAGTAAACAAAGAATGTAAATCATAACTTCTTGTTACCAGGTCCTTTAAGCCTTTTTTCAAATGTGCCACAAGATATTCAACCTCTTCGTCCCCAGAATACTATCCATACCCTACATAGCAAGCTACAACAAAGTTACATCTCACACGAGCCAAATTATCTACATTTATTTCCTATTTTATTAGTGAGTACCAAATATTTAGATATCAACATTTATCACTTGTGAAAATCCATGTAAATGACTTTCTTAACGGAGAATTGCAATAACAAACTATAATTCCTTCTTCTTAGACCAGATCCACTTTCTTAATGGGGAATTGCAATAACAAACTATAATTAATTCCTTCTTCTTAAGTGTCTAAAAACTCCAGTGTGGCCAGCAGACTTTCAGGTCTTCTGCCACAGTGGAGGTCCTGTGTACACCTGATTTTCATAGCTGTCTTCGTAAGACAGCCTTTTTGTACATGTTGCTTTCTAATACAAGGCACTGAAAGAACTCTTTTTTAATATAAAATAGGCACTTAAGCAAAAATATATAAAGTGCCTAAAAGTCCATAACATTAAGAAACATCCTTCCTGCTGCTTCCTGCTAACACTATGATTTCATCAATGACATATATACATATCGTCTATAGATGTATAATACATATACTCACCTGTATATGTATTATATATACATATAATCATCTATATGTGTATAATACATATATGCATACATATCATCTATCTATAATACATATATATATCATCGCTTTATATAATCCATATACACATATATATCATCTCTACATATAATACATCTATAGCATCTATATATCACACACATATATATACATCTATCTAACACACACATACATAGATATCTATAATACACACATAGATACATCATCTATCTGTAACACATATACAGATATCTATAACATACATAGATACATCATCTATCTATCACACATAGATATCATCTATAACACACACAGATACGTCATCTATCTATAACATACACACAGATAGCATCTATAATACACATGGATATGTCATCTATCTACAACACATATACACAGATATCATGTATAACATACCCAGATACGTCATCTATCTATAACACACATAGATATCTTCTATAACACATATGGATATGTCATCTATAACACACACAGATATCATCTATAACACACAGATACATCATCTATCACACACAGATATCATCTATCACACACACACGGATATGTCATCTATCTATAACACACACAGATATCATCTATAACACACATGGATATGTCATCTAGCACACACAGATATCTATCACACACACAGATATGTCATCTGTCTATCACACACACAGATATCATCTATCACACACACACGGATACGTCATCTATCTATAACACACACAGATATCTATCACACACGGTTACATCATCTATCACACACACAGATATCTATCACACACACAGATACCTCATCTATCTATCACACACACATAGATATCATCTATCACACACACATAGATATCTATCACACACAGATATCTATCACACACACACACAGATATCATCCATCTATCACACACAGATATCATCTATCACACACACAGATCTCATCTATCAAACACACAGATATCATCTATCACACACGGATACATCACCTATCACAGATATCTATCACACACACAGATATCATCTATCTACCACACACACATATCTATCACACACACAGATATCATCTATCACACACACATATAGATATCATCTATCACACACACGGATATCATCTATCACACACACAGATATCATCTATCTACCACACACACATAGATATCACACACACACATAGATATCATCTATCACACACACATAGATATCATCTATCACACACATAGATATCTATCAAACACACGGATATCATCTATCTATCACACACACAGATATCATCCATCTATCACACACAGATATCATCTACCACACACACATATCTATCACACACACATATGTATCACACACAGATATCTATCACACACACACAGATATCATCTATCACACACACACACATATCTATCACACAGATATCTATCACACACACACACAGATATCTATCACACACAGATATCATCTATCACACACATAGATATCACACACAGATATCATCTATCACACACAGATATCATCTATCACTCAGATATCATCTATCACACACAGATATCATCTATCACTCAGATATCATCTATCACACACAGATATCATCTACCACACACACATATCTATCACACACACATATGTATCACACACAGATATCTATCACACACACAGATATCATCTATCACACACACACATATCTATCACACAGATATCTATCACACACACACATATCTATCACACAGATATCTATCACACACACACAGATATCTATCACACACATAGATATCACACACAGATATCATCTATCACACACAGATATCATCTATCACTCAGATATCATCTATCACACACATAGATATCACACACAGATATCATCTATCACACACAGATATCATCTATCACTCAGATATCATCTATCACACACAGATATCATCTATCACTCAGATATCATCTATCACACACAGATATCATCTACCACACACACATATCTATCACACACACATATGTATCACACACAGATATCTATCACACACACAGATATCATCTATCACACACACACATATCTATCACACAGATATCTATCACACACACACAGATATCTATCACACACATAGATATCACACACAGATATCATCTATCACACACAGATATCATCTATCACTCAGATATCATCTATCACACACATAGATATCACACACAGATATCATCTATCACTCAGATATCATCTATCACACACAGATATCATCTATCACACGCATAGATATCTATCACACACAGATATCTATCACACTCACACACACACAGATATCTATCACACACAGATATCATCTATCACACAGATATCATCTATCACACAGATATCATCTATCACACGCATAGATATCTATCACACACAGATATCATCTATCACACACATAGATATCACACACAGATATCATCTATCACACACAGATATCATCTATCACTCAGATATCATCTATCACACACATAGATATCACACACAGATATCATCTATCACACACAGACATCATCTATCACTCAGATATCATCTATCACACACACAGATATCATCTATCACTCAGATATCATCTATCACACACAGATATCATCTATCACACGCATAGATATCTATCACACTCACACACACACACACACACACACGTCCATGTGTGGACACACACGTCATCTGTCACAAAGCAGGGGTTTACCAGACGCCTCGGGCGATGGATCCTCGGGTCTCCACTCGGCATCCCGAGGTCGGTCACACCCCTACCCTGGGGCCGCCGCCTAATCCACGAGTGGCGGCCGGTGACGGCTGGAAGTCTCTAGAACTTTCAGGCGCCCAGCCCGGGAGGAGGTCGGCGCTGCCCGCCCCGCTCGCCGCGGCCCACCCACCTGGCCTCCCAGCGGCGCCGGGCGTCCGGGCTCCGGGCTCCGGGCGTGCGGGCGTCCGGGCTCACGGGAGGGCCCGGGAGCGCTCCTCCGTCCGAGGTCTGACAGCGCCTTCGAGGAGGCCCCGCGACCGGGCTGCCATGGCAACGCCGGAGCGGCGTCCTCCATCCGGGCCTCTCGCCCTCGCGCGCACGCGCAGAAGACCCCGGGAGAACAGGTCCGGCCTGGCTACGGTTTCCGGGGAGACGGCCCGGAAGTCCAGCCCGCCGCCGCCGCGCCTTTCCGGGTGCAGTCGGGCCGTCCCAGCGGTGAGGCCCCCTCGTGCACGTCTTCCAGAAGCTTCTCCAAGGTAACCCCATGAAACAGAAAAGCTCGTCTTTGTCGTTTTGTTAAAGGATGCGTTTGACCCCGGCGTATCTAATCCCGGAAACAAAGCTGCTAGCGCTGCGGACGGACGCTGGACGGGCGGACCGCGCATGCGTGCGCGCCGCCCCCCAGCCCTCGGGAGCGGGGCTGGGGGGGAGCGGGGCTGGGGGGAGCGGGGCTGGGGGGGGACGGGGCTGGGGGGAGCGGGGCTGGGGGGGAGCGGGGCTGGGGGGAGCGGGGCTGGGGGGGGGAGCGGGGCTGGGGGGAGCGGGGCTGGGGGGAGCGGGGCTGGGGGGGGAGCGGGGCTGGGGGGGGACGGGGCTGGGGGGAGCGGGGCTGGGGGGGGAGCGGGGCTGGGGGGAGCCGGGCTGGGGGAGGAGCGGGGCTGGGGGGAGCGGGGCGGGGGGGAGCGGGGCTGGGGGGGGAGCCGGGCTGGGGGGAGCCGGGCTGGGGAGCGGGGCTGGGGGGAGCGGGGCTGGGGGGGGAGCCGGGCTGGGGAGCGGGTCTGGGGGGAGCGGGGCGGGGAGCCGGGCTGGGGGGGGAGCCGGGCTGGGGGGGAGCCGGGCTGGGGGGGAGCGGGGCTGGGGGGGGAGCCGGGCTGGGGAGCGGGGCTGGGGGGGGAGCGGGGCTGGGGGGGAGCGGGGCTGGGGGGGGAGCCGGGCTGGGGAGCGGGGCTGGGGGGGGGAGCGGGGCTGGGGGGGGGGCCGGGCTGGGGGGGGAGCCGGGCTGGGGGGGAGCCGGGCTGGGGGAGCGGGGCTGGGGAGGAGCGGGGCTGGGGGGAGCGGGGCTGGGGAGCGGGGCTGGGGGGGAAGCGGGGCTGGGGGAGCCGGGCTGGGGGAGCTGGGGAGGGGGTGAGCGGGACTGGGGGGGGTGAGCAGGGCTGGGGGGGAGCGGGGCTGGGGGAGCGGGACTGGGGGAGGGGGGGGAGCGGGACTTGGGGGGGGAGCGGGGCTGGGGGGGAGCGGGGCTGGGCCGGGGGGGCCCTCCACCCGCGGCTGACTCCCAGACTGAAGAGTTCAAGCCCCTCCTGAGTGAAACCTGCAGCCTGGCTCAGACTGGCACTCACTGCTCGGCAATGGATGTTTGCTAGAAGACTGGACAGAGCACACCAGACTCCCCCTTACTAACCAGAGCAGAGTAAGTTAAAATGCCAAGGCCATCGTGAATTAAAAGACTGAGTGCTTCCTGCCGTAGATTTACAAGTTATAGCTGTAGTGATCTACTATTTCAGCCACTTCAGGACTCAGTCTGGGGCCTTGAAAAAGAGAAGAAAAAAAAATGGTCCTTTTCGGACTCTAGTAATGCTGAAGCTGAACACTCTGAACACTCCCTGTTTGCAAATGCTTTCTAAATTCATAATAGCCAAGAAAGAAACGACTTACCCGTCAAATGGTTAATGGCTGAATAAATGTAACATGTCCATAAAAATGTAATATTCAGTAGTAAAAGAAAAGTATTAAAATAAGAGTATCAGCATTCCCTCAGCCCACCAGGAAAACAGCTGCACTGGCACAAGGCTTCATCTGTTTTGGAACACAAAGCCTATCAAGGCTTTCAGTTTCCAAGACAATGCAGAAGATGAATCAGCATGGAAGAACCTTACCTACCTACGTTTATCAAACATGTTCTATCGAAGAAGGTAGACACAAAAGATTACATACATCAAGTTAACAGACTATCAGGCACCCTAAATAAGGAAGCTGTACAATATAGTATGTGAGGAGATGATGAATAGTATTTAAATCATACACGTGTCTCATATTTGGCTGTACTTATAGAAATACATCACCCCCCAACCGTTCCTTATAGTTTATCCTTATAAGCCACAGCAGAGCTGGAGGCCTTGAGTTTGCCCCTGACCCTAAACCAGCAGGACACCGACTTCCCGCTCATCTGCCAGCAGGGCATTCCTCCTAACAAATGCACTCAGTGAAGAAGCACTATGTCCATATGTTCGCTAGATTTGCTCAGCCCTTGTTTCATGTGCTCAGCACTTCTGATGGATGAAGCAATTTCCTGCTGATCTCCTCTAGCTTACTCAGTAGATAGGAATCTTGTGCATAGCCCTTAACTGAAGGAGAATTTAATGGGAGTAAGTTATGGAAAAGAAACAAAATGAATCAGTTTATCCTTTGGGAAAACAACAAACACAGTTTACTTTTTAAATTATTGACGTTAAATCTGTTTATTAGTTATGTTTCATTGCCTAAGAAGTAATTGCTCTTTGAAAACCTCTACCTGTATTTGAACAGAAGCACTATTTGCAGAGATACCCTGTACATCTTTTACTCAGTGAGCTTTATAACAGAAGTTCCTCTTTCTTGACATTCAGACATGAATATTTAGCATGATAAGCAAACAATAATAAGATAGAGAGGCTAAACTACGGAGACCTTATTGAAAGTGTACAAGCAGAATCTTCTATTAACGTGCTACAGGTGATTAACAGACCCACCTATATAAAGTCTATATGTTTTTAATAGAAAAATGCTTTTCAAATAGTAGTCTATACTCATAATCACTTATATTCATTACTGTTAACATCACAAGTTTACTAAAAACACATTTTGGTTGAGGACAAAGAGCTGGCAATAGAATTTGCATGAGCTTAAAATTGGTATTCATTTCCAAATGAAATGTGTTTCTGCCTGCAAACACATTTTACTTACAATATACAGCCAATATACTCAAACTAAGAATCCGCTTATTGTCTGTGACCAAATTTCAAACTGTAAGCAAGTAGAAAAAAGCAAAGAAAAGTATTTAGCTCGTTATCAGAAAGAAAAAAAAAATTAAGCATGTTTCTTGGCTGGCAGGGTTTGCAGTGGGAAGTGTTCTCTTGGCATTGACTTTGAAAGTAATTTCTTAAATGGAGTACATATGAGGAGTAGTGAGTGACAAGGAATAGGGCTTTCCACAGTATTTGCATGTGTGCAGCTGGTGGAGGGGTGGGGAGTTAGCGATCATATTCAGGGCCTCACAACACTAGACAAATGCTCTGCCACTGAGCTATATACCCAGATAATTAAACCTGTAAAAGATGTCCCTAAATTGTCTAAGTTGTGAGTGTATTTGTAGTCCTAAAAGTTGAACTCAGGACCTGTGCTTGCCATGAGCTCTACTTCTTGAACCACACCCCCACTACTCTTTCGTATGTTTTTGAGATGCTCTCACTTTCTTTACCTGGCTTACTAGCTCTGAAGTATGATCCTTGTCCTGCCCAAGCATGAACCACCATTAGTTTCTTTGAAAATAGTGATTAAAAAAAACAACAACTATGCTTCTAACCCATGTATGGTAGAAACATGGTTTGGTGTTCTAGTCAGTGCCTTCCAGTGACAGTCCAGAAAGTGTAGTGTCTACATATCTTTCTTTGGAGGTTATCAAATTTTAAACTCCCTACAGAACTTAGATCTGAAAGTGTATCTTTGCTATTAGCAGATAATGGGGAACTGTCTTTTGTATCTGGATATAGAGAGTTAATGTGTTCCAAGACTAGATTGCTACAACTTAAAGGTTACACCATCAACCCATGTGCTTTTTAAAACATAAGTCATCTCATGGCCCTCCTTAATCTTGATCATAAAAAACTCCTTCCTATCTTTGATATTTCCAAGGTGATTTTCATTGCTGATCCCTTCACATTATTAAGATGAGTGTGAACATCTACAATGCCAGTTTCTTATAGTCTTTCTGGAGATGACCTTCATCAAGTTGAGGAAGTTCCCTTTTATTCCTAGTTTTTATTTTTTACATCCTGAATAGATGTTGGATTTGCTCAAGTACTTTTTCCATATCTATTGTAGATCTGTAGGTTTGTAGTTTTGCTTTCTTGTAATATATTTGTTTCGGCATTAAGCTAATGATGACTTCCTGAGTTAGGAAATGTTTCTTTGGTTTTTATTTTCTAGAATAGATTGTGGAGATCTGTGTAATTCTATAAATATTTAAATATTTGATGCAATTTGCCAGTGAAACTATCTAGGCCTGGTGATTTATTTTTGCTTTTCATTAAAGATTCACTCTTTGATAGATACAGGTATAATCAGTGTTTTTCAAGGGTTTTTGTCCATTTTACCTAAATTTCCAAATTTATGACCTAAGAGTTATATACTCCTTTACTATCCTTAACTGCCCATAGAATCAATAATGATGATTCCTCTTTCATTACTGATATTTATCGTCTGTGTCATCCTTTTGTCTTAGCTTGGTGTGAAGTTTATTTTATTGCTCTTTTCAAAGAATCGGCTGTCTTGGTTTTCAATTGATTTCTACTCTTTTTTATTATTTCTTTTCTTAGTGCGTTAGGCTTGAATTGGCCTTTCTTTAATTCTCCCAAGATCCAAGTTTAAATTACTGATTTTGTACTTAATTTTTTTCTAATATGTAATAATTTTTTTTCTAAAGATAGGTTTCTTATAAACATCATAGCTGAGTTTTATTTGTAGTCATTCAGTCTGTCTTTGGTGTTTTAGGCAATTTTACATTTACAGTGATTTTGATATAATTGTATGAATAGCTACCATGTTGGTAACTTTCCTATTTGTATTCATTTTTTTCCTCTTTTTTAAGAGAAAACAATATTATATTCTTTATAATTATTATTTCCCTCTTTTTTTAACCTCTTTACTTTTATTAAGGACTTTTTCACTACTTCTTAGGATAGTAATTTTGCTTCTTTAAAAAATATTACTGGTTTGTCTAATTCGGTTTTGGTTCTCTCTCTATATATATGTATACATGTATATTTGTTTTTCTTCATTATCCACACCCAAATTCAGTCAAATGATTTATAAATCAA